GACAGTAGAAACAAGGATCAGGAGGACTTGCCCATGAATGGAAGCTTTCCACAAATATAAGGGAATTTAGTGCTGAAAGTACGTAAAGAGACAAACATGTGATAATCATTCAGTACCTGTAAAGCAAACTATAATGCTTAAAAGGACAGAGGGAGGGAGGGGGAGAGAGAGAGAGAGAGAGAGAGAAGAAGAAGAAGAAGAAGAAGAAGAAGAAGAAGAAGAAGAAGAAGAAGAAGAAGAAGAAGAAGAAGAAGAAACAGAAGCAGAAGCAGAAGCAGAAGAAGCAGAAGAAGCAGAAGAAGCAGAAGAAGAAGAAGAAGAAGAAGAAGAAGAAGAAGAAGAAGAAGAAGAAGAAGAAGAAGAAGAAGAGAAGTGTCTGCCATAGAGCATAGAGACAGGCGGTTGGGGAGGAGGGTGGCATCAGGAAGGAAAATGAGGGCATTGATGGTGGAAAATGTACACTGGTGAAGGGACAGGTGTTGGAACATTATATGACTGAAACCCAATCAGAAACAACTTTGTAACTGTGTATCTTGTGATGATTCAATTAAATTTTTTTTCTAATGAGTGGGTAGGAGATATAGCAGTGAGAATGACACAGAGATACTCTTCAAGAAATTTGGGTATCAAATCAAGAGAAATGGGGGCAGAGGCAGAAGGAATCAATGAAGTCAAGGAGGTTATTTACAAATAGGGAAGACTTAAGTACATCCAAATGCAAAACCAAAAGGAAGGAACTGAAGAATTCAGGCATAATCTGCAGGGAAGTGTCCTGAGAGCAGGGGGGAACAGCTAGGCATCTCTACAAGCTTTTGTTTGCAAACTCTCTAGGTGCCAAAGAGAGGTGGTAGGATGTGTGGGACAGGAGTTTGACAGGCCAGATGTAGGGAATGCCATTCTCTTTACCAGGCTCTCTTTTCTCTGAAATAAAATTAGTAATAGGCAGTAATCAGTATGAATATTTACAAGGACAATGAAGTTAGAGGTTAGAGGAGTAGGGTGCTGAAATAGTTATCTAGGGTGGAGGTTCTAGCACCTCATGTGTCAAAGGACGAATAGGGAATAACTGAGTGGGTTGAAGGAAAGGACTCTGGGAACTCATATCAGAATGAACAAAGAAATAAGACATATGGGGGAGAGGGAGTTCCAACCACTAATGATCTGCTGATTTCAAACATATTTTAAATGCTGTTTCTTTTACGAATAACTTAAATCACCTCTTGATGTGATCAGTCAGCTTTAACAATGCATTCTCTACTATATCATTCATGCTAATAGTAACATTTTAAATAGTACTTAGTTCTACGGAAAGAAAAAATATTCTTCAGAAATCTAACTGTATAGTTTTTCTTCACATAACTGCTAAGCACTGGATGATCGTACTTGAAAATAAGTGTATAAAGATGCATTTGTCCATTAATAGCTATATGATCTAAACCAGCAATTCTCAAAATGCCTCTATGTATAAGGATTTTATGGGAAGATAGTAATTTTTATTTTTTTATTTTTTGGAAGGGAGCACATACCAGCAGTGGTCAGGGCTTATTCCTGGCTTCGTGCTCATGGATCACTCCTGGCAGTTCTCTGTAGTGTTAGGGATTGAAACGGGCATGGCTGAGTGTGAGGCAAGTGCCCTACCCACTCTACTATCTCTCAGCTCCAAAGATTGTGTGTTTTGAACATAGGATCAAGTGTTTAAATAAACACAGAAACAAGCTTCAAGAGTATATTTCCTTTTTTAAATTAATTTTTTATTTTTAAATTTTATTTTGCTTTTATAAGGTTATTCACAATAATTTATTACATTGAGTATTCCAATACTAATCCCACCACCATTACACCTTACCCACCACCATCATTTCAAATTTTCTCAAACACCACTCAACTTGCCTAAATAGCAGGCCCTAAATAATTTATTTTGTGTTGCTTGTTATGAATAATTCTCTTAAAATGATAAAAAAAAATTAAAAGTAAGTGTGTGAAGAATGTTGTATCTTACACTGGAGCCATTGAGCTCTTGTATAAGAGATTATTAACATGTTGTTACAAGTTGAGCTTTATGTGCTAATATTTTTTTTAATTAAGATGGTTGCCTTCTACCTTAAATCCTATCCATTGTGTGCTATTCTTGATACATCAGTGGTATAGAATATGAGATGTCATGGGGCTGCAAATGTGGCTGCATGAAGAACATTTTTCTTGTAAAATTTCTCAAACCTCCAATATATTGATCTATAGTGGGTCTCCAAAAAAGTACTTCGATGTAGAATACCACTTTTTGTATGTGATTTTTAAAAAGACAAAACTTCTTCAAAAGAATTTTGTGAAATTAACATTCCACAATACCACTATGGAAGGCATTAAGTTCTAATTTCTTTGTATATCATAAGTAATTTAGTTAAACGTCTTTTAAATTAAAGACAAATTGATTAGCAAGTAAGAGAAAGCATAATAAGAAGAACAGTAAAAAGATAAAGACTGGTTTTATTTGCCATCATGTGTAAACATCTAAAGACTGAAATAAATTTTAAAAACCTTAAAAGCGGGAGGTTTGGTGCCACAAGCAGGTCGATCTGTACCTGTGAAGCGAGTGAATCAGCAGCCTCATGGCGCCTTCAGACTTCTAGATACCCCAAAATTGCTGCTGTGCCTTTTGCCAGACCCCAAAACCTTGGGGTAAAGTTTACCAAGAAAGTAAACAGCCAAAAGTTAGATATGTGGGAGACACACCCACAAACCACCTCCAGTTCAGCTATATAATTGGAGGCATGGCCTCTCTGGTTCCTGATTGAACTGTTTAACTGCCATGATCCCAGAGACTCAGAAAGAAACAAATCTTGAAACCCAACGGCTTTTGGCAGAAATGCATCCGGTCCCTGCAGTAGGCTACTGGTGCTGGACCACCCCAGGTGGGAATAGGTTTTGTGCCTTGGCCTGTTACCCTGGTGGCCGTCATCCTCCAGAGGCCACTGGACTGTCAGATTTGGGCCCGCAGTGATGAGACACGTGGGGCCTCACAGGATGGGGGTAGAGCCGGCCCTTTCCTCTCCATGCCAACAAGACCCTGAGTCGCCACCCATGAACGTCCTCTCTGGCTCCTGATCAAGCTGCTTAACGGCTATGATTCCAGGGACTCAGAAACAAATCTTGAAACCCAGAGGCTTTTTGGCAGAAATGCGTCTGAACTTGCAGTAGCTTACTGTCGCCAGGCCACCCCAGTGGGGAAAGGGTGCTGCCCCTCCACCTGCTCCCCCTTGGCGGCCTGGTGGCCACCATCTTCCAGAGGCCATTGGACAGTGAGGTTTGGGCCCGTAGTGACAAGACATACGGGGCCTCAAGGGATTGGGGTGGAGCTGACCCTTTCCTCCCCGTCCCAATGAGACCCTGAGTTGCTGCCCACAAATGGCCTCTCTGGCTCCTGATCAAGCTGCTTAAAGGTCATGATCCCAGAGACTCAAATAAATCTCGAAAACCAGCAGCTTTTGGCAGAAATGCATGTGGGTCATGCAGTAGGTTACTGTTGCCGGGCCACCCCAGTGGGGAAAGGGTGTTGTCCCTCCGCCTGCTCGCCCTAGGTGGCTTGGTGGCTGCCATCTTCCAGAGGCCATTGGACAGTTAGGTTTGGGCCTGCAGTGACGAGACACATGGGGCCTCATGGGATGGGGGTGAAGCCGGCCCTTTCCTCCCTGTCCTAATAAGACCCTGAGTCGCCGCCCACAAACGGCCTCTCTGGCTCCTGATCAAGCTCCTTAACAACCATGATCCCAGAGTCTCAGAAACAAATCTTGAAACCCAATGGCTTTTGGAAGAAATGCGTGTGGGTCACGCAGTAAGTTACCGGCTCTGGGCCACCCAAGGTGGGAATAGGTTTTATGCCTTGGCCTGCTCCCCTTTGGTGGCTCAGTGGCCACCATCTGCCAGAGACCACTGGACAGTCAGGTTTGGGCCCGCAGTGACGAGACACGTGAGACCTCATGGGATGGGTGTGGAGCCGGCCCTTTCCTCCCCACCCCAACGAGACTGTGAGTCACCACCGACGAATGGCCTCTCTGGCTCCTGATCAAGCTGCTTAATGGCCATGATCCCAGAGACTCAGGAACAGATCTCGGAACCTAGCAGGTTTCGGCAGAAATCTCTCCAGATTTAATTGTTAAAATTTTGGAATTTCAAAAATTCCGCAGCCACTACTGCAACCTCACGACATCATATATTATTCATGACCAGCAATAGAAAACAAATTGTCTACTGTTGCCTTTTCAGCAGATCTGAGTGTTGGGGTAAAATCCCAAATAATAATGGTGGGTGTGGTGTCAAAATGTTATATGTGATCCAAGTATAAAGAGAGTGATTTGGAAATCATCTGCCCCACAGGTAGGGGGAGGTTGTGGGGTCAGGGTATACTGGGGTTTTTGATGGTGGAGAATGGGGACTGGTGAAGGTATGGGTGTTTCATCGTACGACCGAGACTTAAACCCAAAAGCTTTGTAACTGCTCTCATGGTGATTCAATAAATAAAAATATAAAAAATGGGGGAAAAAAAGTAAGGTGGAATTCATGCAAAATTCAATCAGTCTAATCAGTGGCTGAATAAATAGCAGTACTGCTACATAAAAATAAATAAATAAATACTTTAGAACTATAAGTCCTGAACAAATTAGTTTTGTTAACCTGTTTATTTAGTTCATTAGTGTTTGAGCCATACCCAGCAGTGCTCAGGGCTTACTCCTGACTTCATATTCAGGAGTCATTCATTTCTGGCAGTGCTCAGAAGGCCATATGTGGAACAGGAGGTTTAATCCTAGATAGGGTTGATTGCATGCAAGTTAAGTGCCTCAAGACCTGTATTATATATATCTTTCTAACCTAGTTCTAAACAGTTTTAAAGAATTGAATTGGGTCCTTTTGAACCACTATTCTCATAGATATATATTTTTGGTAATTAGACTCTTGAACAGGAGAAACTTATGAACATAGTTTTCTTTCCTCATTGTTTTTAAAAGCTTGGTCTTATTCCACAAATCAGTTCACTGGAAAATTCCTTCAGCAAGCAGGACTTAGAAGAGTATCAGCTACATAACTGCATGGAAATTGCCTCAGAAATAGGATCTCAGGTGCTCCCTGGTGTATGTGAAAGGCTTATTGTCAGTCTGTCTGCCCTGTTACACAATGGGGCCTTGGGTGAGTATCTGTCTAATGGGATTTACCCAATCACTGCTATCTGTATCCAATCACTGCTTCTTGGAACTCGGGTGGGCTATTTAGCTGACATCAGCATCTACTCCAAACAATACAGTTGCCACCCAATAATTAGGTGCACAGAGAAGTCTGTATTAAATTCCTAGTTTGTGGTGCAGTGTGTATAGTGCACTGGGATATTAAATTTCTGGGACACCACTCCTACATTATTTATTTGGAGTCCTGGAATTTTAAGGTTTCAATACGCTCCAGATAACCTTTCTCATCCCCAATCCTTCATATAATCAATGAAGCCATTAGGATCCAAAAACTTTGGGTGACTGCCCATTTCACTTTGCTCTAGAGGGTGTTTCTCTCCAGCACTGTTGAAATTCAGAACTGGGAACTGGAGTGATATTTCAGCGGATAGGACATTTGCCTTGCACGTGACTAACCAGGTTCAGTTCCCAGCATCCCATATGGTCCCGTGAGCACTGCCAGGAGTGATTCCTGAGTGCAGATTCAGAAAGAATCCCTGAGTATTGCTGGGTGTGACCCAAAAAGAAAAAAAAAAAGAAAACAAATTTTGGAACTGAGTAACTGTGGTGTGTGGAGAGGAGCCTTGTCCCCTGCATTGTAGAATATTTAGAAGCACCCTTACCCTTTACCCTGATACCAGTAGCACACTTCCCTGGAATATCTGAAAATAATACTAAGCTTTGTCAAGTGTCCCTCTGGGGCAGGCACTGGTGCGGTAAAATCTCTTTCTCAGTGAGAACCACTAGTATGGAATCTAGAACAAGATGCTGGGCTTCCTGGGTTCCAGGAAAATGCTTTCTTTCTTTTTTTTTTTTTAAGAAACTTATTTAGAAATATGTTAGAGAAGTGAAACAAAGAAGAAGTATATGTTGGAGAGAGAACACAGCTTCTCAAGAGTGGAATTAGGCAAGCAAAGAAACAGAGATAAGCAAGCAAGCGAGATACGTGTTCAAAGGAGAACATGGGCTTGATGAGCAAGCAGAAAATGCCTTTTCCATATTGGTGCTTTAAAAATATGAGCTTAAGCTACCTGATACCCACAGTCTCTGAAGAATTCAGAGTAAGGGAAATCAAATATATAGTCCAGCACCTACACAGACCCTTAGGAACTTAAGTCATAATATCACCAAATATTATGAACTATACTAAACAAATCTCGCCCACACGGCAAAGTCTAGCAAGTTCCCCATGACGTATTTGATATGCCAAATACAGTAACAACAAGTCTCACAATGTTACTGGGCCCACTCTAGCAAACTGATGAACAACAGGAGGACAGTGCGACAGTGTGACTAAACAATTATTAAAACTTCCCTCAGTTTTAAGTCATGCTTACTGATAAGATGAACTTGTTCAATAGCAGTCATTGAACTCTTCAGACGTGTCAGACCCTGTTCTGAGGACTTTGCAGGTAGTCCTGCCTGGAAGCCTTATCACTGCCTGAGTTGGATCCTGTTATTCCCATGTCACAGGTGAGGGTGCCCAAGCTTAGAGAGAGGTACCTGCCAAGTGAAAGAGATAAACTACAGCTGTAAACAGCAAGAGGTGCTTCACACTTTCCTCCCCTCAGACATTTTTCTTTTCTTCCCCCACAGCCTGTAACTGTCACCCTCAAGGCTCATTGGGGCCTCACTGTAGCCAACTGGGAGGTCAGTGCCAGTGTCAGCCTCGGGTGACGGGGCGCAGCTGTGACAGATGCTCACCAGGAAGCTACAAGCTGGGCCATCAAGGCTGTCTCGGTATGTAGTGAAAAGCGAGGCCAGAGTAAGAAACACACGATTCACATGAGAATCATCCTGGTGATTGGCTACCCAGCAAACAGTGTGAGACCCACCATTGCTTTCTTTTTCTTTTCCAAAGAGAAAAGTTATGAAGTGTTTGACAGACAGTGTAATATATAATATATAATATATTATAATATATATAATAAATATATATACATATATTCTTAAAGTTTATCTCACAAGCTCTGTCAAAGTTCAGGTCATTAAAAAAGCATGTTACTATTTAGTTGCTCTGTATAGATTTCAGATCCAGTTTTTCACAATGTCCCATTAATTGAATGAATCAAACAATTGTTATTTAACATTTACGTAATATTCCATACACGCTAGGTGCTATTTTAAGCATTTCATTGACTAATTTCCTTCTCCAGATTGGGATGATACAACATGTTCACAATTGCAAAAGCAGAACTCTCAAACCAGCACACCACTTGATCACACCTAACTTCTTTTTGCTTTATCTAGAATGTCACTGCCATCCTCAAGGCTCAAAGAGCACTGTGTGTGACCAAATAACCGGACAATGCTCCTGCCACAGAGAGGTGACTGGTCACCATTGTGATCAGTGCCTGGCGGGCTATTTTGGATTTCCCAACTGCCGCCCTTGTCTTTGCAATGGTTTTGCTGAACTTTGTGACCCAGAGACAGGCTTCTGCATTAACTGTAAAGGTCTTACAGCTGGAAGAAACTGTGAAAGGTATGTAATTTATATGCACTTTAATTTTTTATTTTGTTTTGATCTCACAACACTCTCTGAAGACCCATTGAGTAGAGAAATGTTTAAATGTTGAATGATTATGGTTGCTCTGAGAGGTGGCAGGAAATAGAATAGCATTCCATAATCTTTCAGTATTTTGTTTGACCACATACAAATAAATCAATAATGGGCATTTATCTGATACCTTGCTTTTTATATCCCTGATAAGACATGCAAATGAAGTTCCATGATACTTACATGTTAACTTACAAGTTAATGACTTCATAGCAGAACTTCCAATATAAAGCAAATAATTCTTTTACAAAGCAAAGGAGCATCTTCTGAATTGTGTTCTGCATTTGCACTGTTTCAAAGTATAATAAACCCAAATTGACTCACATGAGCTTTTTCAGAGAACATTTTGGTAAAAAAATAAATTGCCTTAACAGATGCATCGAAGGTTACCACGGAAATCCTTCTGCAGGACAGTCCTGTCGCCCTTGCCAGTGTCCAGGGGTACCTTCAAGCAACCAGTATTTTGCCCATTCCTGCTATCAGAATCCTTGGAGCACAGATGTCATATGCAATTGTCATCAAGGTTACACAGGTATGCTATATAGTTCTTTATTAATCCTTTCTCCAGTCTCATCAGCTATCTGAAAAAATGATCACACATTTGTAATCTATCTACCTTGGACAACTGATTTGTGCAGAACAGAAATTCATGGTAAGAAGACAGAAGCTGGTAAATTGCTGCTTTACCAAAGAATTTTAATGACCTAGAAACCAATGACAGGGGCTGGAGCAATTTTATGGTAAATAAGGTGTTTGTCTTGCATGCAGCTGACCCAGGTTTGATCCCTACCATCCCATATGGTACCCAAGCCCCACCAGGAGTAATCCCTGAGCAAAGAGCCAACAGTAACTCCTGAGCACTGCTGGGTGTGACCCAAACACACACACGCACGCACGCATGCACACACAAACATGCACAAAACTAATGAATAAAAAACTCATTCCACTGAGTTACAAACCTTTTTAAGAAGTGGACTGGAGGGGCGGGGGCGATAGCACAGAGGGTAGGGCATGCGGCCAACCTGGGTTTGATTCCCAGCATTCCATATGGTCCCCCGAGCACCGCCAGGAGTAATTCCTGAGTGCAGAGTCAGGAGTAACCCCTGTGCATTGCAGGATGTGACCCAAAAAGGAAAAAAAGTGGATTAGAGAAAGAAATGAATTCAAATTAGTATATTTAAAATATAATGACACATTAAGTAAGATAATATGTGATTAAATAGTATATAAACTTCATATAAAATAAGCAATTAAATAATAAAAAGTTTTAATCAATCAAATGCTTTCCCAGCATAATTCCAAGTAATTAATTTGGTTGATAATTCACAGATTTAAATTTTTTAAATGTCTTGAATACCTCATTTTAGCATTCCACAGACACTACTTAAATAAATTTGATACTCGTGTCTGTCATTCAGTCATAAATTACAGTTTTTAGAGTCTAGGCTTGAGTAATTAATAAGTAATAAAAAGGTAAAGGTAAAGGCCCTCCCATTGATCGTCGATTTGCTCGAGCGGGCCCAGTAATGTCTCCATTGGAGACCTTGTTGTTACTGTGTCTGGCATATCGAATACTCTCGGTAATAAATTAAGTATAATTTATTTAAATATAAATTAAACTTTATAGAGTTTATGAATATTATAATTATAAATGTTACATATTAAATATATAAAATACCAACATGGAAAAGAACTTATGACATCAACCTGACTTAGTCAGAATTAGAAAATATTGGTCTTATTGTCTTCAATCATAATTTCCATCATCATAATAAGTTACATGGAAAATTCCTGTCTTCTTTGTTACCTCTAAGTTTCTAATCCATTCTTTTTTTTTTCCTTTTATTGTTTTAAATTTTTATTTTATTAGTGAAATACCATGAGGTACAGTTGTAGACTTACAAATTTTTGTGCTTGGGTTTCAATTATACAATGATCAAATACCCATCCCTCCACCAGTGCCCATTTCCCACCACCATGGATCCCAGTATCCCTCCCATTCTTACCTTTCCTTTATTGTCTCTTTCTCATGCAAACCATGTTTGGCTGATCGGTTTTTAAGATGTAAGACCACAAATAGGCTACATAAACATTTTGAAATAGGATAAGCCAAGACGTGAGTGAGTGGACCCGAAAGTTTGAGCACTTAAACAATAGCAGTGCAGAGTGTAGGAGAGGAGGGATGGTTGTATATACTGTCATTAATAAATACATTCTCACTAAAGTCAGATACCAAGGAAATGACTCCCACCCATCCTCACTTCAAGACTCATACCTTCAGTACTTGCTGTTTTACCTCTAGGACCAACTGAGGGGTGCAGAGCCCTTGGGGAGAACAGTTGGATTAGTTTTTGTCTGAGGAAGACTATGGTGACCCAAGTCACAGAAGGATAGGAATCCTTTCCCTGAACCTCTATAGTTTTAAAAGAAATACCCAATGGCCAAGGTATTTTTGCTATATATAAAGCTTTTTTCTGAATTATTAGAAACTTATGTGAACTTTAAAAAAATTTTAAACACTATTTTTTACTCCCAAATTACCTCTCATCAACCCTAAATTAGGAGCCCAGGCATTCTCTACTTACATTAAGACACACATCCCTTTTTCATCTCACTTCCCTTTCTCTCCCCTTCATTCAGGGGCACAGTGTGAAGAATGTGCTGCCGGATTCTATGGAAATCCAAGAACTGGGGGAGCCCCCTGCCAGCCCTGTGCCTGCAACAATAACATTGATGTCACGGATGCGGGGTCCTGCAACCAAGTGACAGGGGAATGCCTTAGATGCCTGCACAACACTCAAGGCCCCAACTGCCAGTTCTGCAAACCGGGTTACTTTGGCTCAGCCTTCAATCAGACCTGCAAGAGTAAGTCTGCAGGACTGTCGGCTGCTGCGGACCCCCAAGGGCAGGCTGGGAGGGAATGTGACAGTGGAGTGGTGGCAGCTCTCCCACACTCATTTCAGTGAGGCCTGTTATGCAGCTGTGACACTCAGTTCTTCAGCAGAAATGAATGCAGTGCCACTTAAGAATTTCAGCTGTAGCCACAGTGAATTCTCAGCTTTTATGAATTTGGCTCTGGGGACTGTTATGGCTTTAACACTTATGCCAGTGGATTGGAGCATTGTAGCTCAGAGAGGGAATCGTGGTGTAGCATGGACCTGTGGGCAGAGGGTGAATCCTGGCATGCAAATTCCTGGGCTTGGGTTGAACCAGGACCCAAAAGTATCAGACCCACAGAATTGATTCTCTGGCAGTAAAATCCAGAAAAATGCATTTTGTGGCGGGCTTACCAAGTTACTTGAATCTGTAAAAATGGGAATCATTCATGTAAAGGAAGATAAGGATATAATTCTATAATGAAGAAAGAGGAGGAATAAAATGTATGTTTTCTTTAAAACCAGATATTTTGCTTATTTGGGTACCTCCATTTTCTTTTTTGCTCTTGTTGCATTGACTCTACTCTTCAGTTGTAGCTCCTGCATGATATTAGTTGTGGTTCCAGGTTTGCACCTGGCATGTTGGATGGTACTGAGTTAAACTCACTGTCTCATGACTGCAAGGTGGGCACTCTCCCACCATCAACAGAACAATGCATATTGTTAGGAGATAGTTATCTATTTTGCTTCACTCTGGTCCTTGTAAAGCATTTATTTTCTGATATTTTACCCCAATAAAGCTTTGCTAGAAGAAATGAGCAAAAAAACAGACTCTGGGGCTGGAGCAATTGCAGAGCGGGTAGGGCGTTTGCCTTGCACGCAGCTGACCCCGGTTCGATTTCCAGCATCCCATATGGTCCCCTGAGCACTACCAGGAGTAATTCCTGAGTGCATGAACCAGGAGTAGCCCCCTGTGCATCACTGGGTGTGACCCAAAAACAAACAAAACAACAGACTCTACACCTCCCTGGGTTGAAGAAAGTTCACACACAGGGGATGGCAAGCTTCTTCTGTTTGTTTGGGGATGCTGGGGAATGAAGAATTGGAATTCTAGCTCTGTGCTCCAGATTGTTCCAGGCAGTGCTTGGGGGACAAACAGTGCCAGTGATCTGAACCCTGATTTCCTCATACAAAAGTGCAGTTACATGTAATTTAATGGGTTCCATCTACAATGTTGATAAATCCAGGAGTATTGTAAGTGGTTTCTTCCTTGACGACTTTGGGGTAAAGGTTCATCTAGGCCTCAAAAACACTTTGTATGATTTATTGAATGCTGGTGTTGTTACTGAATTTGCCTCCATCTCTGACCCTGTTATCTCAGGATGCTCCTGTTATCCTTTGGGAGTGAATCCTGCAGAATGTCCCCCTGACCTGGAAGTTTGTCTCTGTGACCCTGACACTGGCTCATGTGCTTGCTTGCCAAACGTCACAGGACAGAATTGTGATCATTGTGCTGATGGATACTGGAACCTGATCCCGAGCAGAGGCTGTCAACCATGTGATTGTGACCCCAGGACCTCTCACAGCAGCCAATGTGATCAGGCAAGACTCTTCACTCTGACCATGTGCTGAGTGAAAATGATGAAAACTGAAAACTTTTAGACATGGCTGTGTGATCATTATGTGCCATTATTTAGTGGTTTTAGACAAGTTGTGGTGTATAAGGGAATGGGATTTGCATTAATCAAGAAATGCAAAGCACTAAGGCACCAGAAAGTGAGAGAAAAAGAAGAGAGAGAATGAGGGATTCTCTAAGTTAAGTCTTATTTTAGGATCTCTTTAAGGTAAGTCTTGTCTACACCACTCTGGGGCTGGGGAAAGTCAATTTCACACACAGGGAGGGAATTGCAAGCTTCATTTTTTTTGTTTAGGGATACTGGGGAATGAGGAAGTGGAATTCTAGTTCTGTGTTCCAGTCTTCTTCTTCTTCTTCTTCTTCTTCTTCTTCTTCTTCTTCTTCTTCTTCTTCTTCTTCTTCTTCTTCTTCTTCTTCTTCTTCTTCTTCCTCCTCCTCCTCCTCCTCCTCTTCCTCCTCCTCCTCCTCCTCCTCCTCTTCCTCCTCCTCCTCCTCCTCCTCCTCCTCTTCCTCCTCCTCCTCCTCCTCCTCTTCCTCTTCCTCCTCTTCCTCCTCCTCCTCCTCTTCCTCTTCCTCCTCTTCCTCCTCCTCCTCCTCCTCCTCCTCCTCCTCCTCCTCCTCCTCCTCCTCCTCCTCCTCCCAAATCACAAATCATCCTGTTATTCGTCGATTGCCTCGAGCAGGCCCCAGTAACATCTCCTTCATCCTAGCCCTGAGATTATATTCAAGGCTCTTTAGGAGAATGAGACCCATCATTGTTACTGGTATTTGGCATATTGGGTACGCTACGGGGAGTTTGCCAGACTCTGCCGTGTGGGCAGGCTACATTCGGTAGCCTGCCAGTTTGTCAAAGTAGGAATGAGATGTCATAATAAGATGTCCAGGACTGGTTTTTATAGTCTCTAAGTCTTGGCCGCTGATGGGATTACACGGCGCCAGGGGGCCAGTTGGTTGCGTGTTCTTCCTACTACTACTACAAAAATCATAGGGAAGACTTAATACATCCATCATTAATCAAATTGATTATGAATGAGAATAAAAATTAATGATGTTTCCAAAATACCCAATTCTGAACAGTCCCAGTATCCACCCAATGCCTTATATAAAAGCAAAACAAGATCTTGTCTTCTTTCTTACCACACCAGCATCAATTGTTTCTGAAAAAATATGAGGTCATGGGGCCAGAGAAATAACACAATGGGTAAGGAGGTTTGCCTTGTGTATGCTTACCTGGGTTCAATCCCTAGCATTGCATATAGTCCCCCGAGTCCTGCCAGGAGTGATACCTGAGCAGAGAACTAGGAGTAAGCCCTGAACACTCTTGGGTGTGAGCCCCAAATAAAACAAAATCTTTGGGTCATATTCCAAGATAAAAATCTTTATTGTGTCTTTTACATTAAACACCACTAAACTATACATATGATTTTTGGTTAGACAATAAGCACATAAATTTTTAGAAAGATAAAAATTATTCATAGGCAAAATAAGACTGTTATTAGTTTTTTGGCTTGCCAAATAAGTTCTCTGAAAGACTTTTTACATTAACAAAAATGGGAAGGGAAAATAAATGGATTTTAGGCATAGGATGATCTTGCCCATTTCAGATTACCCTGTACTCCTACGCCTACAGCTGTCATCTGTGAAACACATTGGTATATGTCCTTGTCACTATTTCACTTTCAAGTTCATGAGAAACTTCCAGTGTTTGTGACATTACTATCCAGCATGCTTCTTAGACTTTTTGGGAATCATATTGTGGCAAAATTCAGAAGGATCAGTTTAAACCCAGAGGCCAAGGGAAGCCTATGAAGCTGAAAATGAGAAGTCATTAGTTAATCCAAGTGTCCTAAGTATTTGATGTTACCTAATCTACATGGAATTCTTAGGAAAGATTGCTGTTTACTAGCAGGAAATATTTTCACTGGCCTACAGAGAAGACATATGGGCATTTAGATTTGCAGCTGTTTAAACAATGTCTGATAAATGTCTGTATATCTACAAGTAGGTCTTTTCTAGTGCATTTTTATAGAATGTTTCAAACGTGCTGTCAAATATTTTCAAGTTAGTTGACGTTTAAGAAATATGTTTATCAAAGTTGTAAGAGAATATGATAAAGATAAAACAAGAGACAAGATATCCTAATGACCTGTTTAATTGGCTTGAAGCCAGAGACAAAATATTGACAGTATAAAAGCAAAGTTTTGCAACTCAACTTTAAAAAGCCATTGCATAAATACAAGGTGGAATAACTTGGCATCCGCTCATGTAAAATTTTCTGAGGATTTTTAATCACAGGTTTCATATGAGCCAAGTGTGTTAACTGGACAGTCAGAGAATGATGTCCACTCAGGCTGAAATAGAGGGAGTGCTGTGTGCAGGTTCAAGGTAATTTAGTGTTACACTGCCCTCTGGATTGGAAAGACAGCCCTAGATGGCAAATTCTTGTCATTTATGAGAACCTTATTTAGATGTAAATAAATATGTGTCCAGGATAGTGAAAAGAATCATGGTTCTCTTCAATGAAAATTTTAAGGAATTAGAGGTGGTCATCCTGAAAAAGAAAAGAAAATGCAAATTGACTTGGCCATTTCTAGCTGGGAGAAATGTAAGAAGGAAGAGGCTACTCTTGGGTGCATTTTCAAAAGGCAGGGCTTACCACAATGGGAATAATTTCTAAGAGTCAAATTCTGTATTTCTTAAAGAGAAAAGTGCCCCATAAGAAAGGACAATAGGCAGTATGACAGGTATCAGGGTGTCAAGCTCCCCATAACTCCCTAAGTTTGAGCAAAAGCTAGAAAACCAAAGATGGGAAAAAGTTTGATAGATTCACCTTTATGAATCCACCTACTTGTTTATTTATTTATATAATCACACTCAAGTAATTTTGCAGATTTGGTCAAGCATAAACTAGGCCAGTGATAATGTTGGTATGTTTTAATATTTTTCTTCTGTCAATCTTTCATCTTTCTTAAAGTTCAGAAAACCTGGTTAAGAATTTAGTTTTGAGAATGCAGGAAAGCTCAGCCTTCTCCCAAAACACAGTTTAATATCTATCATTAAATGATGAAGTCTCTCAAATACAGGAAAAAAGAGTTGTTTTGTTCAATAAAATACTTGTCCAATTTGGAGAAGCTCCATCATACATTCCATAATGGAAATATAATTTGAGACTTAATTGATGAATCTTAGTCCAAATATTTGGCCTCTGTTATGGAAGAACTACTAAAATGTTGAAGAAAAGATTGTTGTCCAAAAAAAAAAAAAGATTGTGGTCCATTTCTCATTGTGTTTTGTTTCCATTTACATCTGTGTGGAATGATGAAATGCTTTCTAGTTTGGGACCACATGTCTCTGAACAACTGGAAACAGGCAGTACATTCAAGAACTCTAACCAAAATGCATTAACTCCTGATCCCTAGTATCATCAGGGGTTGATCCCTGGCCGTGGGAATCATCTTTCCTCTCTGTCTTCTCACAGCTGTATGCTCTAAATCACTGGAGGAAAAGTGATTTCCTATTAAAATGAATTTTTTTTCAGATCATAAAGCTTGTCAATTCCTCACCATGACTGTTCTCACAGTTTACAGGCCAGTGTCCATGTAAATCAGGATACGGTGGGAAACACTGCAGGGAGTGTAAAAAAAATCATTATGGTGGCCCACTAGGACAGTGCATTCGTAAGTATCAATAATTCTAAAATATGGATACTATCAACCTAGCTGTACCCCAGAAATTCTGTGAACCAACTGGACTTGATTTTTTTAATCTGTTTGTTGCTATTATTAGTGTAGACATTATTATAAAATTTACAAGTTTTTACCAAGCTTTGAAAATAATATTTTGGGGACCAGAGAGATAGTACAGTAGGTAGGGTGTTTGCCTTGCATGCTGCCAACCCGGGTTCAATCTCCAGCATCCTATTTGATACCCCAAGTCTGCCAGATGTGATTCCTAAGTTCAGAGTCAGTAGTACCCTGAGCCAGTATGGCCAGTATGACCCCAAACCTAATACTAATATTAATAATAATATCTAAATTATGACATTATAAAATATAAATATATTAATATTTATTGCCCTATGAACTTATTTTCTTTGCTATTAAACCCTTGAAGCTATATTGGATGTTATATATTTTACAATTACACTGTAGCAGTGTTCTCCTATTGTTCATTGATTTGCTTGAGTGGGCACCAGTAATGTCTCCAATGTGAGACTTGTTGCTGTTTTTGGCATATCAAATACGCCATAGGGAGATTTCCAGGTTCTGCCATGTGGGTGATATACTCTCGGTAGCATGCTGGGTTCTCCGAGGGGGACAGAGGAATCAAGTCCGGGTCGGCCACGTGCAAGGCAAACTCCCCTACCCACTGTGCTATTGCTCCAGCCCCTGATTAAAATTCCTTGGTTGTTATAATGGAAGATTCTGAAGCCATAACTTGAGGACAGCTTTCTGCTATTAGGATGCATTTTGAAGAAAACATCTACAGGCGAGGAGATAGATCATAGAAAGTCAGCAAGAGAGAATCTCATAGGTCCCTAATAATTCATATATCTATTTACGTAAAAATACATGTAGCATATCTATTGGGCACACTAAGAAGTGAACAAATGAGACAAAGCTCTAAGCTTTATGGAATATATGTTTCATTACCTTTGATGTCTTACTTGGTACTATTTGCATGGTTTAAAGCACTTCAGTCCACTAGAACTTGCTGCAGAGATGTAAACGTGCTACATCTGTGCTGTCCAATGCAGGAGCCTCCCGTTGTTCATCAATTTGCTCGAGCGAGCCCAGTAACATTGTGAGTCTTGTTGTTACTGTGTTTGGCATATCTAGTATGTCCCGGGTAGCTTGCCAGGCTTTGCTGTGCGGGCGAAATACTCTTGGTAGCTTTCCGGGCTCTCGGAGAGGGGAGGAGGAATTGAACTCGGGTCAGCCATGTGCAAGACAAATGCCCTACCTGCCATGCTATCGCTCCAGCCCTGCAGGAGCTACTAGTCACATGAAACTATGGAACACTTGCACAGATTCCCCATTATCACCATCCCCACCTGAGTGCTGTTGTACACCATAGATAACCTGCATTAACACAGCACCAAAGTTCATTGTTTACATTCTAGTGCACTCTTGGTGTTATTGATGTAATAAGTAAAGGCCCTCCCGTTGATCATCGATTTGCTCGAGCGGGCCCAGTAACGTCTCCATTGGAGACTTTGTTGTTACTGTGTCTGGCATATCGAATACGTCACGGGGAGCTTGCCAGGCTCTGCCGTGCGGGCGAGATACTCTCGGTAGCTTGCCGGGCTCTCCGAGAGGGGCGGAGGAATCGAACTCGGGTCGGCCATGTTGGCTGCGTGCAAGGCAAATGCCCTACCACTGTGCTATCGCGTTTGGATAAATATATGACAGGTATCTATCATAATAATATTGCATATAATCTACCTGCTTTAAAAAATCTACTATACTGTTTATTTTTGTTCCCCTGATCCCCAGCCTCTGACAATCACAGATGTCCACTCTCTGGTTTTACCTTTGCTAGAAAGTCCTGTAGGTGGAAATATACCAGAATGATGCCCTTTCAGTCTGACTCTTTCTTTACTTTCAGCTAAAGTTTTTCTATGTCTTTTCATGGTTTTATAGCTCAAATAATTTTAATACTTAAAAATACTCCATTGTTGGGGCTGGAGTGATAGCACAGTGAGTAGGGCATTTGCCTTGCATGCGGCCAACCCAAATTCGAGTCCCAGCATCCCATATGGTCCCCTGAGCACCACCAGAAGTAGTTCCTGAGTGCAGAGACAGGAGTAACCCCTGTGCATTGCCGGGTGTGACCCAAAAAGAAAAAAAATACTCCATTGTCTAATTGTACCACAGTTAATCCATACAACTACTAAAGAACATATGGCATCTAAGTTTTAATGATTAGGAATGAAGTTGCTAATATCTGTGGAAAGGCTTTTGTATGAAGATTCATTTTTCACATTTTTAAATCTTTTGGGTAAATAACAAGGAGTAAATAATATTATTATAAATTATAATGATACAATAATTTGGGTAAATTATTATTATTATAGATTATAATAACTATGATAAGCTTATTCAGATGCATTTTACTGGAAAAATGTATGGCTATGGAAATTCTTGGGAAGTCTGTGGCATTCCTGAGTCACCTTGGAGGGCAGTCGCAACAGTTGCGAGTGTTTTGCCTTAGCATTAGATCCACTTTTCTCACTTATTGAAGAACCCCCATGCAAACTCACCCACAGGCGGTAAAAACATTATCATTATTTCCATAAACTGTTTTGTTAGTGTAATAGAGGAATGTATTTTAATAACTGTTTGCACAATTATCAGAAACTATACTGTTTTTATTTTTTATTTAACTTATTTGGGTTTGGAGACTATACCCAGTAATGCTCAGGGGTTCCTCCTGGTTCTAGGCTCAGGAATCACCCCTGGCAGTTCTTGGTGGGGCCATACGGGATACTGGGGTTTGAACCCAGGTTGGTGACATGCAAGGAAAATGCCCTACTCACTCTACTATCACTGCAGGCACCCCTGTACTGTTTTTAAGTACTTACCTCAGACCTGTACAGTTGTGATTCTCAGAGTCCAGAGGGTTAATCATTGCACCATGAGACCCTCTCCCTAAGGAGATTCTCACGAGAGAGGAAAGGTCTTTATTTTTTTTTTTTTCAGCAGCAGCAAAGGACTAATGACTGACTGTCTCTGTTCCTTCTCACGTCCTCTTTAGCCTGTGACTGCAACAGGGAAGGGACCCAGGAGCCCATCTGTGACCAGGCCACAGGCACGTGCCACTGCCGAGAGGGTGTGAGTGGCCAGCGATGTGACCACTGTGCCCGAGGTCACGGCCAGGAATTCCCTGCTTGTTTGCGGTGTCATCTGTGCTTTGATCAGTGGGACCATACCATTTCTGCTCTCTCCAAAGCCGTGCAAGGGTTAATTAAGCTGGCTGCTAACATGGAAGATAAAAGAGAGGCCCTATCTGTCTGTGAGGCCGACTTCAAAGGCCTCAGAAAGAACATGTCTGAAATAGAAAAGATTTTGAAATATCCTGTTTTCTCATCTGGAGAATTCTTAAAAGTCAAGGATTATCAAGATTTTTTGGGGTAAGATTTGTGCCCCAAGTAATGGAGACATCCAAGCTCTTGCTTTCCCTTAGCTCCTACTGAACTTGAACAACTGTCAGACTAGGGATGTGCATGTGTCGATACTAGGGAACTATTCTGTGCTCAATTATTAAGCAAACTGATAAACCTCTGTGTCTGGCCTCCTTTTTTTCTAGTTTAGGATCACATGTGATCCAAGTATTATTTTCAGATGCCACTGATTATAACAAAAATCAAATCATTATGAGGTTGGTTGGGAAGTCCAATCTTAGAAGAAATGAAAAATACAAAATTAGAAGTGCTATAGTACTTTTCAATACCCATAATATGTTTTTTTAACTACACTCTCAGATTTATTAAATCTTTCCTAAGTCTATAGTTGTTTAAAATATAAAGCTCATATATTAATGTACAGTTATATGGTATTGTATTACAATGTATTTTCCTTTATTTGTTTGTTTGGGCCACACCCAGCTCTGCTCAAGGCTTACTCCTGGCTCTGTGCTCAGGGATAACTTCTGGCATGGCTTGGGGAATTCTATGGGGTGCTGGGGATAGAACCAGGGTTGGCTGCAGGCAGTGAAAGTGCCTGATTCCCACTGTACTAACTCTCCAGGCCCATTCATGTATTGTTCAATGTCTTTTTTTTTTCATAAAACATTTCTGGGGTTTATGTTGGTGGCTCTGAGCAGGGACCAGCAAGTCAGAACTCACAGCCCACAGATAAAATCCCACACATGTCCTATTCTTGTACATAAAGTTTGACTAGAATACAGCAGCACTCACTAATTTACTCAACCTTAATGCTGCTTTCCGCTCCGGTGACAGAGTTGATCAGTTAGGACAAAGGCATGATAGCCCCCAAGGCTATATATTCACTGTCTGCCATTTTACAGAAAACATTTGCTGATTCACTCTGATTTTCCTTGACTGCCACTGAACTCTAACAACCTTCAGTTTAGAATGTGTTGATGTTAGGAAAATGGTAATAGCTCAGATAATAACTACCCCTGGTTCTTTGTCTTCTTCTCTAGTTCTAAACCAGGGCTGGCTATTAGCTGCAGAAAACCACAAGGAGTTCGGAAACACAGTTTCCTAGGGAAACACAGTCTACTGAAACAAAATGTTGTGTTTTGATTAAAAAAAATCCCTCTCCCTACAAGTTAAAAGTTTTAAAATCTTAAGTTTAATGTTTCGGAGAGCCCAGCAAGCTACCGAGAGTATTCCATATGCCAGACACAGTAACAACAAAGTCTCCAATGGAGACGTTACTGGGCCCGCTCGAGCAAATCGACGATCAACGGGAGGGCCTTTACTTTACTTTACTTAATGTTACATACAACACACACTTAAATATAAGATTATACATCATTAATAATTAAATATCCCCAAATATATAGTAATTTCTTTTTAAAGTTCCACAAGGAATATGACATAACCCACCATAACAGATCTTAGGCAGCACTGTCTGCATCAGAAACACAGTTATGGACCCTCAGGGAGGTCACATAGCCATGGCATGTTGCAGGTGAGACACGACCACTGTGCTTTTTGAGCGCTATTATATATCTGGAACTTTATGGAAATACCCTCTTCTCCACTTTAAAATGAAACCAGCCACTCCTCTAAACATCACGGCCTAGACCGACAAAAACATGCTTGAGGGTGAATTCTGGTCCAGGGGTAGGAAATGGTAGACAAAGTAGGATAGTCCACAGTGGATATTCTAGACAGTGAAACTCCAAGGGCCCAGAGTAGAGCCAGAGAGAAGAGAATAAGGAGAATCCCATAGACGGGGCCTGGAAGATGAGAAAGTGCTGACTTCTGAGCCTTTCAGCCAGAAGCTAGAGTATGTTCTCCCTCCTGAGCAACCTCCTGAACTTTTAACCCTCTTTAATAGCCACCAAACTGCACATCTTCCGTGAAATCTGCTCTGATCCAGTCAGAGAGAAAGGCATGCCTCCTTTGGATCATTCACTATTTACTTACAGATACTTGTAAAGGTGGAGATACCTTTTCCCAAACCTCTTCATGATGGTGTAGTGACAGAATAAATGTCTGTTGGATAAATTAAAAGCAAAGGGAAGGAGGGAAACAAAGAAACAAAGGTGTCATGAACATAGAAGTCAAACTACTTTGGTTCAAATCCACCTACAGATGTGTGGCCCTAGGCAATTTATTTCATCTCTCCAAGCTTTAATTTCTTCATTAGAAAAGAGTATAAATGGGTCAGAGGTCAAGAATATTATTAAAGTTCTAGAGCATATGCTTTTCAGATTGGAGGCCTAGGATTTAATCCCCAGAAGCAAGTGATTCCCAAGAGTCACTGGGTGAAGGTCTCCGCCTCTGAACTTCACCACCACGATGACAGAAAGGGAGCACCAAATAAATATTTTCTAGCTTAGGATTCTTGTGAGAATTACTCAAGACAAGTCATTTGGTATAGCATCTGTTATATAGGAAGTACTTAAAGTACTAATTATAATTATATTAGTAATTACTATTATTGTTATTAGTCTTAGCCTGAAGAATTATAGTCTTGACAGTTGGAGCCTAAAGGAAAAATCTGAAGATTAGAGAGCCAGAGCAGAAAATGCAAGAAAACATTAGTTATACTTTGTATTCATGCCAAGATAAATTAGTCCTGTAAATTCACCTTGTAATTTCCCTCAAATGTGCTCAAGATTTGCACTCAATTTCTCTATCATGAGGGATATAACAATTACTCACTTGAACCAACTGTGCTGGTTGAACTGAACAGATTGAAGGAGGACAAGCAAGTCATCAAAGAAGAAGGTGAAGAAGGATGAGCACAACTAGTCGAGTGCTAACCAATAAGGAAACCTTGTTGCTCACAGAAATGAAGTAAGGATCCTGAACAGAAGCAGCACCAAAAGGAAGCTTTCTGGAAGCAGATTTATTCTGAGAGGAACCGGTTTTTCACCAGAGGCTGGGGGAGGAGTTCTGTGTTAAAAGTCCAAAGTAGCCAGGCATTCTTAGACTAATTGAAATGAACCATGTCTGAATACATGGTTCTAAAATTCCCAAGGAAAAGAGAGAGCACAAACAGCTGAAAACAAAAGATTTAAAGACCATTATTCAACTAGCTCATATGCAGATCATTATTTTTTTAATTCAAAAATATTTTTATTGTTGAAATGGATATTTGGTGACATGGTTGCAGTCCTGTTAATTTGCAAAACACCACCACAAAAGTGCCCAAGGTGCTCCTCATGCAGACCCCTATTGTACCTTCCTGCCCTTCTTCTCTCCTGCTTGATATTCTATTTTGCAATCAAAGGTTAAGTGTTCAGCTTCGTTCACTATTGTCTATCTCCTTGTTTTGTTTCTCTAGGTACAGATGGGTGAAAAACACCAGATCTAGTATTTGTTTTATTCCCTCTGATTTATTTCACTTAACATGGTACCCACCAGTTCCACCCAAGTTGCACTCAACTGCAAGATTTCATCTTTTCTTTCAGCTGTGTAGAATTTTGTTTAGCTAGTTAGCTAGATATTACAGCTTCTTTATCCATTAACATTTGGATTGTTTCAATATTTTAGCTATTGTACTTAGCACTGCCATGAACAAAGGAATGCATATGTCATTTTGAATTGATAATTTTATATTCTTGGGTACTAAGATGTGGGACAGACAGGGTCATATGAAAACTCTATTCTTCAATATATTTTTAAGTCTCCATACTAATTTTCACAGACTACATCCCAACGAACACTGAAAAAGGGATTCCTTTTTCACCACATCCCAACCAATACTGGTTGTTTGCATCTTTTAATGTATCCCATTCTCACTGATGTGAGTGAGATAATATACAATACAGATCATATTTTAAGTGCTGAAATATTCTAAGAAGTAAAATTAACCAGAAAAAGACTTAACATAAACAGAATTATAAAGTGTGAAATGGAAAAACTTGTAGAGTTGAATTTAATTTCTAGAATATTTAATAATGAGGGCAAATTTTTAGTATGTTTTTCTCCAGAATCTATCAAATGTTAATACAAGTCTGCTATTTTACTCACATTTTCCCCTCTAGGAAACAGATCATGCAACTAAGTGAACAACTGAAAACAGTGTATGAATTTCAAGATCTGAAAGAAACAATAATAACAATGGGAAATACAGCAAATTTCTTGGTTGAAGATATTCAGAAAAAAATTGGTTTGTACTCCAAATCCCATAATACAAGCATCATGGGTAAGAGAAGAATGCGCTTTCTGTTTCTGCACAAAGGTTGAAGAAAATCATAGTGCATTCCACTTGTGAGTCACCCTCTACTTACCGCCATAGCCCAAGCACTTTAGAACATGAAAACACACCCATTAAAGGAATTATTTGTACACGAATTTTTCAACTTTTTAAACATTGCCTCGTCTGGATAGCATTTGCTCAAAATAACAAATAAAGTTAACTATATCTGATACTTAACAAATATTGACACCCAAAGTAAACTAATGCCAAATGGCTCAAGGTAATAGGCAATTTGAGTAACAGGCTACTTGGAAATTCTAATTTGACTAGAGAAAAGGGATAGGAATAAGTCATTGCCTTCTTGTTGCAATCTTTGCGTTTTTTTTAATGTATGCCATTCTCAGTGATGTGACATGGCTCTGTTTCCTGCCACCATAGCTGCAAAGGAGCATAAAGGAGTTAAACACAAAAATCTTCATAAGAACTTTGTAAGGACAGACACACTTAGACACACTTCATTCATATTGCATAATTCTTGAAAATGAATGGGAGCCATGTCCACACCAAGATCTACTTGGAAGAGAAATGAAACTTTTAAAGTAAAACTTAAGCTAGCACGTTTGATTCCCGACAAAATTCTTGTTTGGAAATATACCACATTACTGCCAATAGAGACAGCACTGAACTTATTCACACCTAACCCCACCTCACCTCAATAATGAAGAGGTAAAGGAAGAATAAACATAAAACCCACATCAAGGTAAAAAACGTTGATGGCATCTGTTTTCTATCTGATCTCAATTTAAAAGAGAGAAAACAAAAGACAATAATGACCTTAAAGGAAGGCCTAAATTTAATACAATAACTATTGATGATGCTTAGCAAGAAATTAACTGTGTTTCTAGAAGTCTTTGTCCACTAAACAACTAAAAATTCTTCAAAGGTCATCCAACTCAGGTAAAAGAATGTCAAACTGTCCCCATCTCAATCCTTTCATCCATCAGATCAGTAATGAGTTTTTCCCTTGTTGCCTGACACTATGTCCTTGCCCTTCAGCTATTTCAATTTTGTGAATGACATGGACATGTAAGCAACCCAAACATGTAATGGACCATTAGAGTGTCTTCAAGGCACTTTGGAAACGTAAGAGCAATAATGCAATTCTTCATCTGCATTAGAAAGGGCTTCCTGAAGTACTTTGAAGGAATTTGATTTGAACTTCAAAAGATGAGTCTAAATCCTTTTTCACATTTGCCGAATAAAGGTAGGAAATGATGGCAAGAAATAGGAATATGTTAATTTTTTGGCCCTTTGTAGCAAATTAAAAGCATGATGTGTATATTAATAGTATATTAGTATAAAAATTTAGAAGAGGAGCTCAGACAGTACAGTGGGTAGGGCATTTGCCTTTCATACAGTCAACCCAAGTTCAATGCTCGACCAATCCTATACAGTCCCTGAGCATGGCGAAGAGTGATCCCTGTGCACAAAGTCAGAAGTAAATACTATGCATAGCTGGGTGTGGCCCCCAAATCAAATATATAGATGTACGTGTATTCTTCTGAATATATATATGAGACACCTTATCTTTTTTAAATTTTTTTATTTTATTGAACCACCGTGAGATATAGTTACAAGTTTTCATGTTGGAGTTACAATCACACAATGATCAAACACCCATCCCTCCACCAGTGCACATTCCCCACCACCAATATCTCCAGTATACCCCCCTTTCCCACTCTCCCACTTCTTCCATGGCAGACAACATTCCCCATACTCTCTCTTTCTACTTTTGGGCATTATGGTTTGCAATACAGGTACTGAGAGGTTATTATGTTTGGTCCTTTATTTACTTTCAGCACACATCTCCCATCCCGACCAATCCCTCCAACCTTCATTTTCTTGGTGATCCCTTCTCTATTCCAGCTGCTCTCCCCGCCCTCCTCCCTCTTCATGAGGCTGGCTTCAAACTATGGAGCAATCTTCCTGGTCCTTATGTCTACTGTCCTTGGGTATCACTCTCATGTTATTTTATACTCCACAAATGAGTGCAAATTATATCTGTCCCTCTCTTTCTGACTCATTTCATGACATCTTAATTTTTAAATCTTCTGAATATATATCAAGCAGACTTAAAAGGTAAGGTGTCTCTCCTATTCACATTATAATTAAAAAGATCAGGATGCAATGGTTCTAGTTGCTAAGATATAGAGCTAGAATTTAAAGCTTCAGTATACTTATTAATTACATTCAAACTTGCCATATTTATTTTGTAAATTTGTATGTTGATTAAAAATGCAGGCAATACTGAGTATGCTTCAGAACCTAGGCTCTGGAGTCAAACATCCTGGGTTCCAACCTTGACTTTATCTCTGCCCAATCAATGAAATATAAGGTCAATAATCTACCTCTTCAGAACTTCACTTTTTTCATCTTTAAAATGAGGATGATCATAGTAATGTGCACTTTAAACTGTTTATGAAGAGTAAGGAGAAATATTGAATAAAAGCTGGAATACCCTGTTCAAGAATGCTAGCTCTTATCAGCCAAAGAGATCAGCAAACTGCAATCCACTCAAGTAGCTCTCCTCACTCCACTTCCTGTTTCTGTTACTAAGGCTTTATTAGAAGGCGGACTGTGGTACTTATTTATGCATTGTCTATGACTGCTTTCACTCTCCAGTGGCAGATTGTTCTCTGATTCTTCGCAGAAGAACTTGGGATTATCTTCATATTCTCAGTCTTAATAAATTATTATCACCAATTTATAGATAAGCAATCCAAGATTAACTGATTTACTCGTGGACATAACCTGTAAATAAATGGCAGTAAAGTCAGAATTCTTACCATTAGGAAAACTTATAATTAAATGCTTCCCATCTATTATGTCTGTTATATTTATTATATCTTATATCTATTACATTACAACAAATACTTCAGCTCAAGGAAGAGGATATAAAATTTGGGATTTGGGGGTTTTTTTTGTCTTGTTTTTGGGTGAGATCTGTTGTGCTCAGGGCTTACTCTTGTCTCTGTGTTCAGGATCATTCCTGGTGGGGTTTGAGGAACCATATATGGTACCATACCAGGAATTCAAACCTGTGTCAGTTGTGTTTAAGGCAAGCACTTTACTCCCTATGCTATCTCTCTGAACTGAATTTTTGTATTAGTAATTGAGAATAAGACAGTGTTCCAATTGTGAAATGATTATCTTGATAGCTAATGTATAATTTCATTTCGCTTTTATAAAACTTATATTCTTTTCCATTTGCATTTAGATTCCTTAGAGAATATCAAGATGCATTATCAAAGATCATCATCTGCTGAAAAGATAACTAAGGAAACTTTCTCTGACATAAATAACTCTAAAAAAACCAGGACTGACTTAGTTACCACCTTAGATACACTATTCTCAAAAGGAAACTTATCGTTGGAAACATTAAAGCAGATTAAGTTACCAGATATCCAAATATTGAGTGAAAAGGTAAATATTCATGATGATACAGTGAAACTATATATTGTTTTTACTTGGCAAAATTGTTTTGACTTCTTCAATTTTATTATCCTATCTTGCATTTTTATTGATACTATATAAATACATAAGTGTATAAAATATATATGCTTTTATTAATGATTCATAAACAATGTCTTTAGTTTTATGTTGAAGTTTGATAAAAGTCAAAGTAAATATCATTACTTGAATTTATTCTTCTATATTATTCATTATTTTCAATACAGTAAAGATTCTGGACACTTGTTTTTCCTGCCTTGTTTTAAGTAGGAAGTCATTTCTATTTTTTGTTTGTTTGAGGGCCACACCCAGCTGTGTGCAGGGCTTATTCATGACCTGTGCTCAGGGATCACTCTTGGCAAGGTTCAGGGAACTGTATGGAGTGCCAGGGATCAAACCTGGGCCAGCCACACACAAGGCAAGCATCTGATCCACTGTACTATCACTCGGGCCCTGGTCACTTCTGTTTTTTCAAAGTGAATTTAACATGGGAAGTCTAGATAATTATCTTCCCCCAAAATTTAAGTATAAAAGTGACTGGCAGGCCAAAGCGATAGTTCAGCGGGCAGGGCATTTGCGTTGCATGCAGCCGACCCAAGTTCAATCCCTGGTATCCCATATGGTTCCCCAGGCACAGCCTGGAGTAATTCCTGAGAGCTAGGTACAACCCCTGAGCATTGCCGGGTGTGACCCAAAAAGAAAAAAAAAAGATTGGCATGATATTGATTGAGATATTCAGTTATTTAGAAATTTATAATGGATAGCCAGCAACTATGAAACATGAAGAACTATTAGAGAAGCCATGAGCCTGAGTGGCATTAGAATAAACCCTCCCCATGAATTACTTTTCACCATGAGCAATTTCCCTTGTAAGGTGTGTGGGGACCATCTGTGTGTGAGTTCATCCTGCAGTGGCCCTATTTGTCCTGGCTCCCTGAATCTGTCCAGAAACGCCTTCCAGAAAGCCCAGGATGCAGAATCTCTAATTCACAATTTGAACAACCAGGTTCAAGGATTGAAAACTCAGGTAAATACCTTTCTTTGCTTTATTTGTAAAGTGCTTTGAAATTCTAACAACTGTCATTTAGTCCCTCAGTGAATGAATGAATTCTACATATTGGGTATTCTTACACCTGAATATCACACACAGACAAACACACACACACACACACACACACACACACACACACACAGAACTATAATTATAGTCTGTGTAGAAAAAAGAGAAAGAACTCGAGGTATGATGTTTGTAGGTAAGTTCACATACTGGTTTGGCCATGTTTTTTTCATTTTGCTGTTGTTGTGGAGACACCCAGAGGTGCTTGTGGGCCCGTGGGGGAGAGGTATGGGGAGATGAAAGAAGCAGATATATGACAGGGACAGCAATCAAGCCCAGAGCCTCATATGTGTAAGGCATGTGCTCAACCATTTGAGCCTCAGCCTCAGCTTGCTCAGAGGTTACTCCTGGCTCTGCACTTAGTAATCACTCCTGGCAGTGCTCTGAGGATCACATAGAATGCCAAGGATGAGACCCAAGTCGGCCATGTGTAAGGCAAATGCCTTACCCACTGTACTATCCCTCTAGACCCGAATATGTTTCTTTCATGGCATATAAATGCTACATAGAAATTTCAAGGTTCCTAGCCTTGATATTTTGAAAACTATAGTCTTCAAAATAAACTTTTCATGAATACAAGGATGTATTTGAAATTATACTAAATATACAAATTCTACTATTAGTATTTTTGTTGTTGTTGCTTTGGAATTTTGGAGGGCAGTTCTCAACTTTTACTCCTGGCTTTGTGTTCAGGGACCATTTCAGTAAGGCTCAGTGGACACATGGGTGCCAAGTATTGTGCCAGGGATTGAACATGGGCTGGCTGAATGCAAGGCAAGCACCTTAACCACTGTGCTATCACTTTGGTCCCGTAATGTTAGAATTTGATGTTTGAAAATACATACTTTCTGGTTTTGACACCTTGCCTAGTGGTGCCCAGAGCCCCTCCCAGCTCAGTGCTTGGGAATTTCTCCAGGTCCTTAGGGGACCTTATGGTGGGTGACCCAAATACCGTCTCACCAATTAAATATTATTTGAATTAGCATTCTTGTTTGCAGAAGAAACCAACTTTTGAAGAAAAAGTGGCTGTATGTAAGGACATCTGGGTCTCAGAATCAAAGGATTGAGGTCAAACTTGAGCATAAGACTCAAGTCTCAGCCAAGACATATCCACATATGCACAGAAACATACATGCACACATGCACACACGGACAAACATGCATGCACACATAATGCTACAGTCTACTCCATAGCATCACCTCCATGAGTCTGAACCTCAGATGGTTCTCTGTTCTAGCTCTGTAAATTCCAAGATCCAAATGTGAATCAAGCTGCAGTGTAATCTACATATGCTAAATATTGACCTTTTCTATTTCTGTGATCATAATTCTGTGCTTCTACATAGTTTTCACTTATGTCATTCCTCATTGCTCTAACAAAAATGCATTGAATACCTAATACATGTAAATCATTTGTCTAGGTCAATGTTTGACAAAATGAGTTGGGGGGTACTGGAAAGATCTGGGAGTGGGAGTAGTAGGAGACTTGGGTGCAACTGGGGTACACTTTATGTTTGTTTGATTAAAGAATATAGATTTCCAGGAAGGTTCTGAGTAACTTTGTTTCTGAAAAGGAGGTGGAAAGTCAAATTAAATCTGGGAATCTCTGCTCTGGATACAGGTACTATGGCAATGAACATTAAATATAGGCAACCCCTGATGGTATGATTGATGGTTAAAATAATGCAATTGTTTAATATAATTTTAAACAATTATATTGTTCCTTTACCCCTAAAAACCTACCACCCTTTAAACAAACACTATATTAAGCTGTTTCTTTTCAAAGATCACTCCTATACCTCTTAGTAAAAATCAGGTTTCATCAGCACATAAATGGAAACTGCAAGATGATGGTGGGCATGTTGTCCTGTTGATAAAATGGGGTGCTGTTTTCCACTTGATTAGAAGAAGGAACGGTGCCAAAAGAGATTGTGAGAGAATTCTCAAGAGTCAATTATGGTCAAGGATGGATTGCAGAAGAATGTTTTAAGAGTGAAGTAATTTAGCAGACTCTGAATATGCCATAGACTAACCTACTCTGAGATTATCTGGATCTTCCAGTGCTTTCCTGTCAAGAGTATTTCTGGAATTTTAATTTTATTGCTATGCATTTATTAGTTAACTGCTTTCCATTTTTATTGAGACATAGCTAACATATAACATTGTGTTGGTTTTAAATATGCAACGTGATTTCATCTGTGCATATGTTGCAAAGTGATTCCCACAGTTTATATATATATATATATATATATAACCACACAATTGAAGGATTTTTTTCGTTTGTTTGTTTTGGCTACATCTGACAGTGCTCAGGGATTACTCCTAGCTCTATGCTCAGGGATCACTCCTAGTGGGGCTCATGGACCATCTTTTGTGCCGGTTATCAAACCCAGGTCAGGTGCATGCAAGGCAAGTACTCACATGCTGTATTATAGCTCTGGCCCGACAGCATTTTTCTAACAATAGGAACTTTTAAGACCTGTTCTCTTAGCAACTGCTTTCCATTTTACAATTTTAAAAGTTCTAGAGAATTAAGGCATAATTCTCAGAAATTAAGATACATATCTTGAAACATTTAAATATATCCCCTTTTTCTTCATCATTTGCCAGCTACTACAATTAAATCCTTTCCCACAAATCTGTATGACTCAAATTAAGCAGGCTCCTTTTGTGGGAAATAAAGAAAGCAGTTTTTTTTTCCTCTTACAGGGCTTGATATTAATTAGCCTTATTTCTGTCATGATTAATTTATTCAATACAGCTGAGTTTGTTCATGATATTCTCCTGTTCCTTTCTATTTTTTCTCTTTCTTTAACTTGTAGGACTCCTAAGGGAAATTCCATGACTTTTCTAAAGTTGCACAAGTAAGAATTTGCATGTCTAGGTTGCAAGCCTTTTAATTGGATAATTTGTCCAAGTAGACAAAGTATTTGGGACTTATTATTGTAGCTTGCTTTTAGTTCAAATTCACTTACTAAAAAGAGGAAAACTTTCTTTCAGTTTTAAAGAAAGTTCATATCTTGTATGATGGGAATGTTTAGAAGAGCAACTATTTTATTTATTTGGTTATTTATTTTTACTGAATCACCATGAACTACAGTTACAAAACTTTCATGTTTGAGTTTCAGTCATACAATGATTGAACACCCATCCCTCCACCAGTGTACATTTTCCACTACCAATTCCCAAATACCTCTCCCAGAACAGCTATTTAACATATATTTAAATGTGATTTAAGCAAATTAAACACAACAGGCACTGTTGTATAAGTAACCCCATACATTTTTGTGAAGCTTGTTGATATAGAATACTTAAACTCATCAAAACATAATTTGTGGGGGCTGGAGTGATAGCACAGAGGGTAGGGCGTTTGCCTTGCATGCGGCCCGACCCAGGTTCGATTCCCAGCATCCCATATGGGTCCCCTGAGCATTGACAGGAGTAATTCCTGAGTGCATGAACCAGGAGTAACCCCTGTGCATCGCTGGATGGCCCCCCCCCAAAAAAAACCACAATTTGTGTGTTAGAGTTTTATAAGTTAATATTATTTTTAAATAATAATCTTGATTATTGATAATTAGAGATTATCCTTAAAAAATAAGTGTATGTCATTAAGAAAATACTTCGAGCACCATTAGGAGTGACCTAGAGCACCGAGCTTGGAGTGGCTCTTTAGCACCATGGGTGGTCCAAACAGCAACAATAATTAAATTTTTATCCATTAGAAGTAGGTAAATTACTAAATTACCCATAAATTACTAAATTACTTAACATTATCATAAATTACTTTCTATTAATTATATGATTACATTACATGATGTCTGGATTTGCATTAAAATAATCCTGAGGGAGGGTAAAAATGAAAAATTATTAGCCAGTGTGTACCTTGCTGACTAATACACTGGGTCACAAGTACTTCACTTTCACATGTCTGTAATAAAATGTCTCTGATGTAAAAAGAAAGAAAACTTGATAATGAAAAAAATCATATTTTAAGAGAGTCCTTTAAAATAAATCTGTTGTTTGATAATCTAGATTTCTATTCCACTTTTATTTATTTATTTGGTTTCGAGGCCACACCCAGTTATACTCAGGAGTTACTCCTGGCTCTATACTCAGGAACTACTTCTGGTAGTGCATAGTCCTATGTCTCTGGCCCCATATTCCACTTCTATTAACAGTATTATAGACCCAGCTACATCATTGGTATTAAAGAACATGCCTCATTATTTGTTTTTCTTTCTAATGTCTTATTGCAGATAAAAAATACAAGCAAACTGGCAGAAGTCTCCCAAAACAATACCTTACAACTGAGTGAGAAACTAAGAAATATGAAAAACCAAAGTGAATCTGAAGAAGAAAAAATAAATCTTTTAATTAAAAAGCTGAAAAAAATTGTGTTAGGTAATATAAAAAATATTGGTATTATGTTTTATTTCTTTCTTTAAAAATTGATATGCCCAAACATCACAGTTATAAATAATACTAATTAGAAATGATAGCATAAATCAGAAACATGATGTAATTCTTTTTTTAAAAAATTTTTTAGTGAGACATCATGAGGTACAGTTGTAGACTTACAAATTTTTGTGCTTGGGTTTCAATTATACAATGATCAAATACCCATCCCTCCACCAGTGCCCATTTCCCACCACCACGGATCCCAGTATCCCTCCCAGCCCCCAACCCCCGTGGCAGGGCATTCCCTTTTGTTCTCTCTCTCTCTCTTATTGGGTGTTGTGGTTTGCAAAAGAGGCAGTGGGTGACAATCATGTTTGTTCTATAGTCTACTTTCAGCAGAAAACATGATGTAATTCTTGATTTTAATTTTTTCCCCCACAGTGATGAGATCAAATCCAAGGTCTCACATACAAAACATGTGCTCTACCATTGAACTATATCCTTGACCCTTAAATTGTCTTAATGAGTATAATACCAAAATATCAAGTCTGCACCCCCAGTATATGGATTTTTATAAAATATTAATTTTTTTTATTAAATCCTAGCACAGTGGTAGGGCGTTTGCCTTGCACGCAGCCAACATGGCCGACCCGAGTTCGATTCCTCCGCCCCTCTCGGAGAGCCCGGCAAGCTACCGAGAGTATCTCGCCCGCACGGCAGAGCCTGGCAAGCTCCCCCGTGACGTATTCAATATACCAAACACAGTAACAACAAAGTCTCCAACGGAGATGTTACTGGGCCCACTCGAGCAATAATTAAATCCTAGAATGTAGTTAAAATTTCAAATGAATTATTGTAGTGTTTAAAATTATTTCAGTTTGCATTTAAAAAAGAAGGAAATACAGGACCAAAATGAGGGTTCAGGGGTTCTGGCACTTGCCTTGTACACAGCTGACCCTGGTTTGATCCCCAGCTCTGCATATGGTCCCCTGAGCATTACCAGGAGTGGCCTCTGAACAGAGAATCAGGAGTCACTACGGAATATCGCTAGATGTAGCACCCCTACAATTTAAATGAAAAAAAAAATCAACAAGATTTTCCTAATCTGTTATGATATTTGAATATGCATTTAAAAAGAAGAAATTATTGGATTCCCTAATGTCAGGATTCTATCTTTTTCTCACCTGTCAAACTATATAAGCTCAAGGTATGGCAAATTTTAATTAATATATCAAATACTGTCATAATGGAACATCACAAGAATTTTTTGTTATATGTATGAGGCTCTGGATTTAATCCTCAGACATCTCTCCCCCAAAAATATATGGTTATTAACTACTCTCAAGTATTTTCTAAGTTTCATATTGCTTTTCTGTGATGGGCCAGAAGGAGCTTTGTAAATCATTATTATTATTTTATTATTCTTCATTGTGCCTTGTCTTGGCAAAGAATTATTTCAATTCTTTAACCAGAGAACTATTGGTTAAATATAAGAATCATACAGTACAGTTAGAAATTGATCTGAACATAATGTCATTTGGTCCTACAACATGTGTACTTACTTTCAGAGGTTTCTGATTTCATTTGTTTTCATTATCCACTATTTTGAACACTCCCCGCATGAATTCACTGGTTATTGAGGTGCCTGTTAGAATCTAAGCTATCACTTCATTTATCTGTCTAATGTTTATGAGATACCTGTGATCAGGTAATTTTTCCATTTCAATGTTTCTAGAAATTGCATTAGAAGGTCCTACTCCTTATTTCAGAAATAAGTAAAAAAAATCATTCAATACAAATGAGTCAGTAAAAATGAATGGGAGAGAAAGCAGTCTAGGGGGCATTATGTTTGTTCAAAAGCAAATTTTTGACATACTAGATGGATTGATAATGACTTTCCAGATCCAGGAACTAGTCAGACTCTGGAGTGCAGGTATAAGTCAATATACGTACCAAAATGAAAATAAAGTCACAGCTGCCAAATGAGTTGTATGAAAATGGTAACACAGAGCCCTGAGCTCCAACAGTAAGTGTAACAGGGCCGTATGCTTGTGCCATATCACTCAAATACCAAAATCTGCCCCTGGTTCCCACTACCTTCTGAAAAAGTGCAAGTTCCTCAGCCTATGTAGGAGCTGATGTGATCTGCCCCAGGCCTTTCCAAACTTGCACCCTTCCATTATTCAGCTCACATTCCCATCAAGAGATATCTGTGACAGTTTTTTGTTCACTCCAAGTTTTTGTTTCAATGGTTCTCTCAGTTGAGAGTACTATGAAGTCCATCTTTACCACACACCTCCTTAAATTTTATCTCTGTGGTCCTCCAAGGTACAGGTCAAATCCCCTGCCTTTTTTTGGTTTGGGAACACATCTTGAAGTACTCAACATTTATTTCTGGCCTTGCACTAAGGGGTCACTACCTCCTGGTAGGGCTTGGGACCATCTGGGATGCTAGGAATCAAGCCTGGATCAGCCACATGGAAGGCAACAACCCCACCCGTTGTACTCTCTTTCCAGAACCTCAAAATCCTTTTTTGACTCTTTCTGAGAATATTTCTTATTCCTCTAGACTTCACATTAATTTTTCTTATACTTACCACTTCTGTTTTTATCTAGTCAGTGGTATTTATAGAGAATGGCTTATTTTCCTCTTGATGATCAGATGTATGTCTAATTAAACTGATTGTGCCCTATTGAACTTAGCATTCTGCCTCAGGAAAGAGCCAAAATACACAAAGTATTTTACCCCAAATACTAATCATTGCAGTTCTCAAATGGAGGTAATTTTATTTTTCTGAAATGTAAGTCATAGATATATTCAAAGATTCTTTTCTGTTATTTATAGGATACTTTAAATGTAAGGCACAGATATATTTCAAAGATTCTTTTCTGTTATTTATAGGATACCTAATCCTATGTTGGGCTGGAGCGATAGCACAGCGGTAGGGCATTTGCCTTGCACGCAGCCAACATGGCCGACCAGAGTTCGATTCCTCCGCCCCTCTCGGAGAGCCCAGCAAGTTACCGAGAGTATCTCGCCCGCACGGCAGAGCCTGGCAAGCTCCCTGTGATGTATTCGATATGCCAAACACAGTAACAACAAAGTCTCCGATGGAGACGTTACTGGGCCCACTCGAGCAAATCGATGAACAACGGGGAGGACAATGACAGTGACAATCCTATGTTGTCATGTTTCCTTCTCAAAACTTGTGAACCTTTTCAAGGTCCATGGAGCATTAAAATCTAGTTTTGCTGAGTCTAAACTCAGTATTTCCCTATTATCTTCTTTGTCTTGCTTGGCTCTTGATAGGATCTAAACATCTTAATGGCTTTTGAATGTGTAATTACAATGAATAAGTTAGAGGGAGGTCATCTTATAGAACACAGACAATGTTCCATATCTATAGTTACTCAGTGTTTTCACAAGCATTTGTGCAGCATGTATTCAGCGCTGTGTAGCATTATTTCACTTAGAAATACTGGGAAATTCAAAAGGAAATCTATGGACATGTATAATCTAATCCCCATTTTCTAGAGATACATAAACACATGCAAGGGTATTTGGCTTAGAATTTGTTGTGACTCTATTTATGAGATATAATATTTCATAAGGAGAGACAATTACCTACAACCTATTTTCTTATTTAAGAGGAAAACGTGCCTCCAGAGGATATAGAGAAAATTGCAAATCATGTACTCGACACCCACCTACCAATAACATCACAAAATCTAACCCATGAACTTGACAAAATAAGGAAACTGACACAACTTCGTGAGGACTATAAGAGAGATGAGAACAAGCTAAAGAAAGCAGCAGATGAAGTTCCAAAGATTTTACAAAAGGCCAAAGAAGCTGAGTGAGTTCCATATTCATAATCTCATAATGCTTTAAGAGGCCTTCTACTAGGTCATCTGAAAAATGCTTGCTGAAGGGGCTCTAATGTTCATATATTACTTTCTAGTGCTTTAGTGCCACCACTGAGGGCTAAGCTATCTTTAGAGGTGCTCTGAGAAGCTGGGAAATTTGGAGGCAGTGTGCAGGGATGCTTATTTTCTGTTTTTCTTAGACTCTGAATGCTTTTCTGAGGTCTGTTACCTCTTCTTACAAATAATATGTATAATATGTGACACATACTAGTTAGATGATAGTATCTTAAACAGGTGGTAGAGATATTGGTATCTTATTCCATTCTTGTTGACCTTTTTTCTTTCGTGTTCTCATTTCTTTTTCATTTTCAAAATTTAACTAAAAAACTTTTAAAATTGAATCACCATGAGATATACAGTTACAAAGTTGTTCAAGATTGAGTTTCAATCATATAAGTTTCCAACACCCATCCATCAGTAGTGAACATTTCCCACCACCAGTGTCACCAGTTTCCCTCCCACCCACCTCCTCCAATACTTTTCTGTAACCTGCCTCTATGGCAGATACTTTCCTCTCTCTCTCTCTCCCTCTCTCTCTCTCTCTCTGTCTCTCTCTCTCTTACTTTTCTTTAAGACACAATGAAAGGGTATCATACATCTCACTTTCCCTCCTTTTAGCACTTGCTGATCTATTTTTGTAATTTCTAAATTTCTAAATTCAATATAATTGGAAGTATTTGAAATTTGAAAATCTAAACTTTATAAAAGACTCTACTTAAAAGGTAAAATGATGGTGACTAATGGAAGAAACAAATACTGGTGCCCCAGGAACAGTATACATGCCATGCAGATATAGATACATATATATATGTACATACATATCTGAAATATAAGAAAAAGTCTGTCACTGTCACTGTCCTCCCGTTGTTCATCAATTTCTTAAGTGGATCCAGTAACATCTCCATTGTAAGATTTATTGTTACTGTGTTTGGCATATGTCATGGGTAGCTTGCCAGGCTTTGCTGTGCAGGTGAGATATTCTTGGTAGCTTGCCGGACTCTCTGAGAGGGGAGGAGGAATCGAACCCGGCTTGAATGGGGCCAGCCATGTACAAGGCAAATGCCCTACTGCTGTACTATCAAGAAAAAGTCAGCTTGATGTTTTTCGAATAGGGGGTGTTGTGGATCAGTGTCAGAGTATAACTGAATGATCAGGATGTCATTCATATCTGTCAGCATTTTGAGATTCCAGTAGAGACCTGAACTTCCTTCACTGTCTTATGTAAATGAAATGTTCTAGATGCAGGTGCTAAACCAACTCCTTCCAGTTTTAAAATATCTGCAATTGCCAGAGGTCAAGGCGAAGAATAAACAGGCAGAGTAGAGAGGAATTTTAAGAGAGTGAAAGCATGTCAGCATGATACCAAGATGATGGATACGTGTCACTGTGTATGGATCAAGCCCACAGAATGTACACCACCAAAAGTGAACCAGAATGTAAACGGTGGACTTTGGGGGATTATTCTGTGTCAATGTAGATTCATCAGCAGTAACGAATGATCCACTCTGGTGAGAAATAAGGGGGTAGTTTGTGCTTGTGTAGGAATGAGGTTCTCTCAATTTTCCTGTTAATCTAAAACTGCTTTTTCAAAAAAGAGAAACGGAGATTGATTAAAAAGAGAAATTAAGATTTATTAATTGTTACCCCACTGGGAAGACAGAATGGTTTGAATGGAAGCAAAAACATATGAAAACATACGGCTAGACGTTACTAGCCAATTTTTGCCCTTGGCATAGGCATATTTAATTATGCCTCTACAAAGGTATCTGATATTTCACTCACTTGGTACATTGTCCCCAAGGTGTTTTTATGTCCACAGATCTAAGTGTCTGATGAATGTTGACTTGAGGTGAACTCCTCTCTGTAAAATAGACTCTTTCACCTGGAATGCTAGTGATTTAACCTCATACTAGGCCCCTGAACAACTGGAATGCCAGAGAAGCTTAAATAAACCTGAATAAACAGTGCCTGAAAATGCAGGGGCTTTAGCTCTCTCTTTTCTCACTGAGGAGTCTCTTGACTCTTCTACCCACACTTAAATAAGGATTGTAACAGTGTTGCAAAACTTCAGAAAATAGAGAACTGTAATTGGCTGAAGGGATAGATAGATAGATAGATAGATAGATAGATAGATAGATAGATAGATAATTACTAGAATTGGCCGTTATATGCCTCATACCCACTCTCCAGTTTGCTTACATTTTCTGGCACTTAAACCTGCCTATTTCTCAAATTTGAGACTTCACTTCTTGCTTCAGAAGTAATTTAGATTTTCTTTTTAAAATTATTCAGCAAAGTTTTGGGTTGAGTCAAATGAGCTCTTAAGGTGAAACAAATGAATATGTTTGTATTTATCTGATCTGATGTGTTAATATTTTACCTTAGAGAAGCAGCAAATGTTCTATTGAATCTTGACAACATGTTGAATGACTTGCAACAAGTTCAGATCATTCAAGGACAAGCAAATTCTGCCATCACACAGCTGACTGCCAAGATAACAAATATCAGAAAGAATGTATTGCAGGTATTTTATTGTCTTCTTTGTAACTAACCTGAAAGATTTTAGTTGGAAAGAGCACAGTAGTTTTCCTGTGCCAATGTCACATTTGCCTTCATACCTGATAGTATTATCATGAGGATGAAATGAGTTATTATAATATATAATAAAAATTTTTAAAAAATTCATTATGCACTTAATGAATCTACAGAGCTCTCCCAGAATCATTCTGTTTCCTGTTGACGAATCGTGGTGTCCAAAGTTGGTTCTACTGCCAGCTCATAAATGAGGAAACTAAACTCACGAGGTGATTTACCTAAGGTCACACAACTAATTAATCATAAGTTTGAGGTTAGGGTTTTTTCCTTCTAATACAAACTGCTCAACAGACAATGAAACAAAATTAATTATTGCCAAGTTTTAATTTTTATATTAATTCCCCTACCTTCATATTGCACAGGTTTTGTAAATTTGCACAAAATTCATCATCAAAGTAACTTAAAACTAAGATACTGCCTTAACTAAAAGAAAAATCTATTCGGAGCTTGGTGGAAACTAAGGCCTGATACATCCCACAAGATGGGTTTATGACAAGAAGCCTGATAATGGGAAAATGGGACAAGACCAAATCCAGAGTGTTTAACATCTCTTCCTCCCAAGCTCAAGCTCCTAACACACTCTCCTTTCCCAAGAGATTCTATGCAATTCAGTCCCCATTCTTCAGCTGTACTTTATATGTCTAAGGGCAGTCATCCTGAAAGCAAAACAGAAAGCAGGAAAATAGGAAGAAGTGTGCTAGGAAGTGAAAGGGTGGAATGTAAAGAGGCTGCCTACATAGAGGTAGTGTGTAATCTCCAGGCAAGTAGGAAAGCCTGAGGCCCTCTCTCATGGCCTGCCTTCCATGGTCTCGGGCCACTCCCCCACCCTGGACGGCCAATACCATGGGCGGACGAAGGAGGCAACAAGGGCCAAGCTGGTTGGTGACCAGTTGCCGTTTATTCCATTCCCCCACGCACCTGTTCCAGTCTCATTAAGCTCCCCATTCCAGTCTCACACTGCTCCTCATTTCCATCTCCTCCTGTCTCTCCTGTTCTTCTCCTCCCGCATTGAAAGTAGCACAATCGACGTATTAAAGCCAGCTCTGTTGGCGGATCAGGCTCAAGGGCAAAATACCACTTAGGGGGTTTTCTCCTTCCCTTAGTCCATTAATTTAATTAACATCTTAATTAACAGCTTAATTCTACTTCTTAATATTATTTTGTACAGACACAGTAAGAGATACATTAAGCTTATAGGGTGGCTCTCCTGGGGACATCTTGCTATACATCTCACAGTACTCAGGCCAGATTAAGCTTTTCTAACCCTCGTCGGATCCTATCTAGTTGCACTTTTTGGATCATGACAGAATTTGTCCATGTCCATGTTCTTAACTTATAGGTAAGTATTATGGTACTTTGGCCTGGCCCATTTCAATGCCAGAGAAGCTCACAGCTTGCCCTGGGTCCATCCAGTCCTGTGTCGGGACCCTGCTTTTGAGGTGGTAAAAAGTAAGGGCAACTGAGGTTTATGTTGAGAGAACAGATGCCCAAGGAGTGAATATTATCCGGAGTCAATTAACTCCCAAATTACAAAAGCATAGCATAATTGTCTTCTTGTGTCTATACAAAAAAAGATATTACTCTGAATTAACTATACAAAGGACTTAAGGAAAAGCAATATTTACAAGTTAACAGAATCTAATTAGGAGATAAAGGCAATTGACTGTTTGGGAAAGCAGAGTACAAAAAAAGAGGTTACAAATAAATACAGAGGAATGGGAGCACTGTGATGGGAGTAACCCAATAAACCTAAACTCCATGTGGCAAGGCAGAAAGGACAAACAATGTTATCCTCCAGGGTCGCAAATACAAAACACAAAAATTCCACAATTTTCCCTCTTGGCATATTACTTTAGAGCAGGAGCTGGGAAATACATCCCATGTGCCAAATGGACCCATCAAGTGTTTTGTATTCAAAGCACAGTGGTTTGTTGCAATTCATTCACATACTGTCTATGACTGCTTTTGTGCTACAGTGACATTGAATTAAATAACATCAATAGAGACTCTACATGGATGGCAACGTGTGAAACCTTTACTATCTGACCCTTTACAGAAAAAAAAACACACTCATAATTCCCACGCTGGAACATTTTCCACATAAGCTCAAGGCAGCAGTAAGGAACTTTTATTTGTAGAAGTATGATAGTCAAGCACTTTAAGGAATCCTCCTAGTAGATAAGAAGTAAAAATGTTAGATAAATCTTCTAAATGAAAACATTAAGAAGGCATAGCTGAATTAGTAAGAAATAAAGAAAATTAGTGGCAGCTGAAATGACAGGAAAGTGTGAATCCAGAGAGGTAATAATGTGTGGGCATCGGGACTCATAGCTATGGAGTCGCAGGGATGAGCATAAACAGAAGCAAAATCCGTGTGGGAGGGAAACAAGATCTGCAAGGGGTGAGACCCCCAAAACACAAACTCCTCCATGAAAAGTTCAGCCATCACACAAAAACTAAGAGAGAGAATGATTGACAGTGATGGATAGACAGATGGAGAAACAGAAAGCCAGCAAATAGGGAAGACACTTTGAGCAAAAGTAACTGCAAACTTCTCTGAAGTTTGGTGTTTGTTTTCACACCACCTGGAAGACCCAAGCTACTCGGGCTATAAATTCCCTTTAAAGTAGTCTTGGGCTGGTGGGGCATTCAGATGCCGGAGGCAAACAGGAATCCCCTTCAAAGAAATGCACCTTAATACCAGCCCTCAAAGAATTCTCCCAAATAAAGAAATGGTCTCAACATGAGTTCTCAGGAACAGTCAACAACAGATTTGGAAAGCCAAATAGTGCTGCTCTTAACTATGACCGAATATCAAGTGCAAAATAAGAATATCTAACATGTTTGAGAAAATCAAAGAAGGTATGAAAATATCATTGAAGAGATGAAACAAGATGTCTGACTTCTATATATAAGTATAATCATTAAATTAAAAATTAAACTAAATTTAAAAATTTAAAAATAATTGTTACTGTGTCTGGCATATCGAATACTCTCTGTAGCTTGCCGGGCTCTCCGAGAGGGGCGGAGGAATCGAACTCGGGTCGGCCATGTTGGCCGCTTGTAAGGCGAACGCCCTACCCATTTTAAAAAGCAAGTATGATTGCAATCTCATAATTGTTTGAAAGGGCATTAGATAAAAGGGCCACCTGCATCAAAGGATAGAAAAGGAAATTATTGTATATTCACACAATAGAATCCCTTAAATTAGTAAAAAATAAATTAACAAGCACTAGGCAAATTAACCTCGATGATCTGCACTGTAGCACTGTCCTCCTGCTGTTCATCAATTTGCTCGAGCGGGCACCAATAACGTCTCACAACAAATTGTGAGACTTGTTACGGTTTTTGGCATATCGAGTACATCACAGGTAGCTTGCCAGGCTTTGCCGTGGGGGTGAGATACTCTCGGTAGCTTGCCGGGCTCTCCGAGAGGGGCGGAGGAATCAAACCCGAGTCGGCTGCGTGCAAGGCAAGTGCTCTATCCACTGTGCTATAGCTCCAACCCAACCTAGATGATCTATGTAAACATAATTTTGAATTTAAAATTCCAGTTTCATAAATATGCAGTATGACTATTTGCACAACATTTAAAGAAAAACATAACCATGCAGTGTTAGAAATACTGCCTGTAATTAAAAGGCACACAGGATTTCACGGAATCACAACTCTTACAGAGGTTACCTCTGGGACAGAGAGAGGAGTGAGATTAGAGAATGAATCACTGGGAATCTTGGTGGCTGTCAGTGTGTCTTTCTTAAACCCTGGGTACATTTTGGGGAAATGGGATAAAAAGCAAAGGAATGATACTTGTTCCCTTTACACTTATTTTCTAAGAGATAATTATATCATTTATTTTCTTGTTTCATGTTACACCATAAAAGCTCTCCTTTCTGGTGTTTAAATCAACAGGCTGAAAATCAAACAAAAGAAACTCGGAGGGAATTGGACCTTGAAGAGCGACAGTTAGACTTGAAGGATGGGCTTTCCCAGCTACAGACCAAGCTGCAAAGGAACCAAGAGCAAACCCTCCTTGCAAAAGCTCAGGCTGAATCAGCTCAGCGTCAGGCCGGGGGCCTTGAGGAGGTCATGAGTCTTACCTACCTTTTCAATAGTGTTTTTTTTTGAAGGAAACCCTTTAACTCCAGATTCTTGTACCATTCATCAAACTCCCTTTAATGCTGCTTCCTGCTCAGTGATGTTTGCTTGAGGAATCCTGATGGGCATGAAGACTCTTGGGGAGGAAAGGGCTGTCTCCACGGAGGCGGACATTCTCAGGCCAGTGCATGTTGGAATGTTCAGTGTCACTCAGCCCATCCTCAAAATCTCAAATAGTCATGGTTAAATTTTCCCTGAACTTCCAAATGTTCACAATTTATATCTTTGGTCTTTATTTGTATGTATTTGTTCTTTCCTCCAACAAAATCATAAAACATAGAAAGGCAAGACATGAAAGTCACCTACCAAAGAGAAAAGATCAAGTTACAAAAATCAGAGTGAGTTAATTGAGCAGTTTCGGGAAATGGCCTACTAATTTAGGTTGCTGAAAGAACCCATCAATTCATTTTCTAAGCAACAAGTATTTGGATGGTGCCATTAGTAGAGTAGCTTGAACAAAGACAAATTTGTTCTATTCTCCTGCTTTTATTCCTAATGAACTGGGTCCACTTTATATGCCCAGGAACTGAGAACACTTTCTATGGACCAGAACTTGGGAAAGGGGCTTCTTGCCCCCCACCCCCTATCTCCCACCCCCGTTCATTTTTACTTCCATATTCCATTCCGGTCTCCAGCCTTGATTTATCTACTTAACCTTCTGGGTTGTCAGCCACAAAAGTTGACCTCGGAGGTTTCCTTTTTAATTCAGAGGAGATTTTTTTATCTTTTATTTTTTTTAACACTGTGAATGACAAAGTTACAAGTTATTTATGATTGAGTTTCAGGCGTACAAAACGTCAGAGCCATCACCAGTGTCCACTTCCCTCCACCCATGTCCCCAGTTTCCCACCCTCCCCTCAGCCTGCCCTCCTCTCAGCAACTCCTGTTGCTGACAGGTATCATGCACATCACTTTACCTTTCATCCTCCTCCAGAGTGACAACTTCCCTCCACCACTGTCATCAAGTGTTCCCTTCCCTAGCCCATCCCTCCTGGCCCCCACCAGCGAAAAGCTTCTTCCACTTCTTGAAATGATGGATTCTTTCAGCATTTCTCATGTTCTTCCTTTCTGTTACTTCTGGGTATTTATTCCACTACTATGTTCCTTTATACCTGCGTATGAGAGATTATTCGGTGTCTGTCCTTCTATGTCTGACTAACACGTCTCCCTCCCTCGCTCCCCCAGTCCCTCTCGTCTTACTTCAGCCTCACTTATCTTTTGACAACCAAATATCCTTGCTGCTTCTAAATCTTCAACACTCCATCTTTTATGTGCAACCGAGCCAAAAATTTGTCAAGGGCAGGGTTGGGTCCATTTAGTCTTCTGTATCTCTCATCTGTTATGTAGTTCAGGACTAACACTTGATGTCTCATAAGAAGTGCCTTAAAGAGAATGATTCATGTTTCATGTAAATTAAGTTTTAGGGTTTTGGTATAGAGGTGCTCAGGAGTACTCTCAGCTGACTGTGCTCAGTGTTTTTTTCCCACTGGTGCTTAGGGGACCATATAGAGGGACTGTTCAGGAATTAAATCACATCTCTCACATGCAAAGCATGCTTCTCATGCATTCAACACATTGGAGTATCTCTTTGGCCATATGGTTTTAGTTAAATAAAAATGACATTTTTGGGGTCCAGAAGATAATACAGTAGATGCTTACCTACCTGCAGCTGTCTCGGGTTTGATCCCCGGGCACCCCTTATGGTCATCCAAGCCCCATCAGAAGTAATCCCTGAGTGAAAAGCCAGGAGTAAGGCCTGAGCACAGCTGAATATGGCAAAAAAATTTTTTTTTGCTAGAGCATTTTGATATGTAGGGAAAAAATTAAAAACACCTATAATTTGAAAGCAAATATGTCAATAACTTTACCACAGTGCTTCGGTAATTAAAAATATTATTCTATATCTTTTATAGTATTCTGGTGATTGCCTATATATGTGGGGACGGAGGATCTACATTTTGTTTATGACCAACAAATACATGAATAGATCCTATAGGTTCTTTTCCTTTTGGGGGGAGGGGGGAGGGGGATGATCACACTTAGCAATGATCAGGGATTAACACAGCAGTAGGGCATTTGCCTCACAAGCCAACCGCCTGGCCAAGCTGGGTTTGATTCCTTCACCCCTCTCTGAGAGCCCAGCAAGCTACCAAGAGTATTTCCCCGCACAGCAAAGTCTGGCAAGCTACCCGTGACGTATTCAATATGCCAAACACAGTAACAATAAGTCTCACAATGGAGACGTTACTGGGCCCGCTCGAGCTAATCGATGAACAATGGGAGGACAGTGCCGTTTTTTTTAATTGAATCACGTGAGATACAAAGTTACAAAGCTGTTCAGGGTTGGTTTTCAGTCATTCAGTGTTGCAACACCCATCCCTCCATCAGTGTACGTTTCCCACCACCAATGTCCCAAGATTCCCTCCACCACCAGAGACCCTAGTCTGCCGCTATGGCAGGCACTCCTCTCTCTCTCTCTCTCTCTCTCTCTCTCTCTCTCTCTCTCTCTCTCTCTCTCTCTCTCTCTCCTTGGACATCAATTGCAATACAGGTTTGTAATACAGGTACTGAGAGGTTATCATGTTTTCTCCTTTACCCACTTTTAGTTCTTATCCAGAGTGATCATTTCCAACTGTCACTGTGATAGTGGTTCCTTTTCTATCCCAACTGCCCTCTCCACCAGCACTTAAGGCAAGCGTCCAACTGTGAACCAATCTTCCTGGATCTTTTTTCTACTTTCATTGGGTCACTGTCAATGTCCTCCCGTTGTTCATCGATTTGCTTGAGTGGGCCCAGTAACATCTCCATTGTGACAACTGTTACTGTGTTTGGCATATTGAATATGTCACGGGTAGCTTTCCAGGCTTTGCTGTGGGGGCAAGATACTCTCAGTAGCTTGCCAGGCTCTCTGAGAGGGGCGGAGGAATCAAACTCGGGTCGGCCATGTTGGTCGCTTGCAAGGCAAACGCCCTTAGTCTCATACTATGTCCAAAATTTTTTTTAAAGATAATCTTTCAGTCAGATAGGTAGCTCAATAGGCTGAGTGCTTGTTTCAAAAACAGGGGCCTGGATTTGTTCCTGGAAAGATGTGGCCTCCCACACACTGTGGGGAATGATCCCTGAGCACTGAGCCACCAGTTATCTTCAAGCACCACCAAGTGTGGTCCCAAAACAAAGACCACAACAAAATGTTTGTTTTTTTTTAAAGTTAAAAATAGAACAGATGATTCACTAATAATTAAAAAAATTTTAAAAAATAGAAGAAATGAAAGTTTTGCTGAAAATATCAGTTACTAAAGCTAATTGGTTAAGATATGGTTTCTTCCTAATGTTTTCATGAACAGTGTCAGGTGTTTGGCATGTCTGTGCATTCTTATAACTTCTGTCTGATGATGGGAGTGTTGTTCTCTATAGGGCTATGTTGAGTTGAAAAATCAATATGCTGCTCTTCAACATAAGACAAGCGCTACAGGACTGACAAAAGAAACAATAGAAAAAGTGAAACGGCTAAAAGATGCAGCAGAAAAATTGGCTGAAGATACAGAAGACAAAATAAGAAGAGTAACGGGTAACTGTCCTTTTCTACTACATTTTACAAGGGAAGTCTTCACAGATAGTGCTCAGAGGCCATAGAGCAGTCCTGGCAAAACTTACCCAAATGAACCAGCTGGTTCAATGCTATAGCCTAAGGATGCAGCACTGCCTGGACCCAATACCAGTCATGCTGGAGTGGGGATGTGGGCATGAGAGTCCAGCAGTGCTGGGTTGCGGATGGGGCACACAGTGTGAAGAGCTAACTCAGGGCTTTGTAGGTGCAAAGTATGCAATGCAACTCTTTGAGATATCTCCCTGGCTCCCCCTTTCCTCCAACTTGATTGATTAATAATTGACAAGTGGAATTTATCTGATTTAAGTGTACAGCATAATATTTGATAACCATATAATTTGTGAGATGATTACCAGTTTCTTAACACCTTCATAACCTAACACTTGTTTTTCTTTTGGTGGTGACAATACAAAGGATCAACTGATGTATGTAATTTAGAGTAATTAACATTAGTCACTGTGCTGCATGGGAGATCCCCTAAATTTAATCATAACTATTTGTGGCTTCTGACCAATATCTTGCCCATCTTCTACTCTCAATTCTGGATGCCACCTTTCCTACCCTTTGTTTCTGCAAATTCAACATTTCCCCACTTCTCGGTCCTTTGTTATTGCTGTTTTAAAACCCAAAAGTTACACACATTTAGTTGTGGTGCTCATGAACTTTTAGTCACAATGCTTCTTAAAGGTCACACATTTTTGTTGTGGTGCTAGGAGGGGAAATCTGCACACTTAAATTGTGTTCGTGCATATTTTGGTTGCAGGACTTATACACTAAGTTGTGGTGTATCAGGGACTCATAGTTTGTTGTGGTTTTAAATGCCCCAAATATCAAGGCTGCTTAGATCACACTCTAGCCTGTGGGTCAGTGTCAGGAATCGAACTCTTGGCCTCAGGCCTCACACTAACATAGAGGTTCTCCTGGGCTGTGCTATTCCTAGGCCCTGAACTTGTGAGGTTTTTTTTTCTTTTTGGGTCACACCCGGCAATGCACAGGGGTTACTCCTGGCTCTGCACTCGGGAATTACTCCTGGTGATTCGTGGGGGACCATACGGGATGCTGGGAATCGAACCCGTGTCGGCCACATGCAAGGCAGATGCCCTACCCACTATGCCATCGCTCCAGTCCCATTGTGAAGTGGTTTTAGTTGTTGAGGATTCTACCTGTGAGTGAGATATTTTGCTCTCTGACCTTTTCCCCCTCCTTTTTTTTTTTTTGCCACTTAGTATAACGTCCTCCAGTTTCACTCATCTTACGGCAAATGACAGGATTCCCTGCCTTTGATATCTGGAGAGAAAAATACACAGACATATGTATGGATGTATAATAAAACACATTTTTCTTGTTTATTCACCTATTGGCAGAGGTGACCAGGAGTTCACAGAGAAGAGCGCAAACTGCCCTAGCAGGATCAGAGTTGAGAGAGTGGAGCACGTGCTTGTGTGCAGCCAGGCCCCTGCCTGGAACTTTGGCTCAGTCAGGGTCCTTGCAAGAAACAGGAAGCATATCGGATATACCTTATATTTGTGGGCAATGTTGCCTCAGTTAGTGACTTATTGCATAACAGACACCCCAAGTGTGATGATTAAGAAAACAATCCTGAATTATTTTCTTCTGGGCTGCCTGGTAGTTCTTCTGCTGGTGTTCCCAGGGTCACCAAAGCAGTTGCAGTCGGTGATGGTCACTCCACAGACCTTCCAGGGCCGTTTGGCTGAGCTGCTAGAACTCTCTACAGAGTCATTCATCCCAGTCTGCTTAACAGTTTGGTTGTTCCATAAAAATAAGCAGTAGAGCGATGAGTTCCATATCACTTCTTCCACTTCATGTTGGTCAAAGTAACTTGGAAAGCCAGAGAGAGAGAGAAAGTACAGAGGGTTGATTTGTTTTTGACTTGCCCAAAGCCAACCATGCTTCCATCCCTGGCACCATATACCATCCCCCACAGCAATGCCAAGAGTAAACCCTGAACACCACCAGATATGGTCCAAAAACACAAAATTATGGAATGTAGAGATAGTACAGGAGAGCAGGAACTTGCTTTGCATACAACTGCATTGGCATCTGACCCTGGTTTGAATCCAGGCACCATATATGTCCCTCTGAGCACTGCTAGGATCAATGCTGAACCCAGAGTTGGGAATAGCCCCTGACCACTGCTGGGCATAGCCCCATAGAAGCCTAAAAACCAACTTGCACAGGTGGGTCAGGTTTGTGAGGAAGGGCAAAGCTACTTCTTGGTGGGAGGAGCTATATGGAATGCCCAGAATGAAGAGAAGTTGAAGGGATGGAAGTCCTGAGCAACAAGCAGCAATGAGTAGCTAGTAGCAGGCCAGACCTGAAGGAGCCATGGAGGCAGGTGTGTGGATGTGCACTGCATTGATGGGAAGCAGCCCCCATGCAGAAGTGGACGAATGGCTAGTCCCTGCTGCCCACCAGGGGCAGAGTCTGCTGGCTCTTCTACACTCCCCTCCTTTCCCAGAATCATTCAGCGGCCTGATATAAATGGAGTCAAGGTCAAAAGAACCAGGTGATGTCATCTACAAAAGTCAACTTTCTAGGACCCAGCAATGGTAGCACACATTTAGAAAGAAGAACAACCAGCACAATCGAATTCACTCAACTTGTGGAAGCGCAAGCCTTTTTGTTTCCTTTAGCACAAATAATATACTTCTAATGCTGAATCCCCTTGTCAATCCGAATGACCTTTTCAATACCCGTGAGCTTCTAGGACTGTTGCTCACCCCCTTGCAGAGCAGGTTTTAGTCTTGAGCAGTTATGACAACTAAAAAGTTCTTTATATTCAGACTTATCTTTATTTTTTTATGGAGTTTTCATTTACTGTTTTTCACTTTGTTTCCTCAGGATAACAGAAAACACATTTACTCAGTTTTCCTAAATTGACCTTGAAGCACTCAAAAATAGCCTGACACATGTCTTGAATTTTTGTTTCTCTTTATGAAACATCATCAACTAATTCAACATTTGTTCACAGGACAGCTTTGAGTATCATCAGCAATCTGCTTCCTTTCTCTAATTACCTGCTATGTGCTAATTTGATAGACTTCTCCAAACTGTGTAGTACAGGTGTGATTAAGTGTGAGATTTAACATCTTTTTTTTTTTTGCTTTTTGGGTCACACCCAGCGATGCACAGGGGTTACTCCTGCCTCTTCACACAGGAATTATTCCTGGCAATACTCAGGGGACCATATGGAATGCTGGGAATCAAACCTGGGTTGGTTGCGTGCAAGGCAAATGCACTACCCACTGTGCTATCACTCCAGCCCCAAGATTTAACATCTTTCTTTTAGAAGCTCAATTTCAACCTAAAATCATTTTACACTGAGTGGTACTCAAGGGATACTCCTGAAATGTCATTCAGGGTTTGCTCCTGGTGGTGCTTTGGTGTTAAACAGTGTCAGTGCTCAAACCCAGGCCTCCCCATGCAGAGCATGCACTCCAGTCCATTGAGTTATCTCTTCAGTCCCCTTAGATTCTTTACAGTTAACAATGAGAGACCACCTCACACTGTTAACTTTAGCTCTTCCACCCAAACACTTTGTCAGGGTTTGATATCATTCTTAGTGCTGGTTGGATGGAAAATAAATGGATGGAAAAATGGATGGATGGATGGATGGATGGATGGATGGATGCATGCATGGATGCATGGGTGAATGGACAGACAAATGGATGGATAGACGAACAGATGAATGGATGTACAAAATGATACATAGATCAATAAGAATGAAGCTAAGAAAACATCACATTGCTTTAATTATTGAGAGATTTCAGTAGCAGCAGAGGAAAATGAAGAAATAAAATTCCCCTTTTAACAAAGGATTGCGAACACCTAAACTGTGGAGCACATGTTGAAAATGAAGTTAAAATAACAAGGATAAGTCTTTAGAAGTGTAACATTTCTCAGACTCCAACCAGGGCTCATCATCTGTTGTTCTCTTTATGTCTAATGAATTATAACCAGCTGTAGTATCACACTGAAAAATGCTTTTATATATAAAATATTATAAAATAAAAATATCAGTTTCTCTGATTTCTATGAAAATATTGAGGAGTCTGGTAAAAATAAATATTTAATCTACTGAATCAACTAACAAAAGCTTAAGAGACAAATACATCTCTGGACTTTGTATAATATGGAAATCCAAGAGAGTTCTAGTAGATGAAAATCTAACATTTACTTCATTTTTTTCTTTCAGATTTGGAAAAGAAGATTCGAGATTTAAATTTAAGTAGGCAAGAAAAAGTTGATCAACTGAAACAGTTGGAAGATCAAGTCATTGCAATTAAAAATGAAATTGTTGAACAAGAAAATAAATATGCTGAATGCTATACTTAGTTAACATGCAAAAACCTGTACCTTCATTTCCAGCTTCTGAGGAGTACAATGAAGGATCAGTGAGAAATGCTTGAAATACAAATGGTTAACCTCTCCCCCTCCTTGGCTCTGCCCCTCTCCTTGCTGTAGATCTGCCCATTGTGGCTGGGAGTGGAGCAGAGCCAAGGAAATGCCATGTCAGAGGGAATAGAAGGGGGGAATAAAGACGTGGTCTCCGGTTTCAGAAACCTTTCTTCTTGCCCTTCTGTCCCTTTCATAACTTAAAAATAATTAGCTACACATGGCAAGTACAAATCTGTGTGTGTCTTAATATGCATTGTAGTCAAAAACTCCCCAATATTAAACAAATTTCCAGCAGATGGAGGACCTAGGAAATGGGCAGTATAATCTTAACACTTGTTTTAGTTTAAACAGCAAGAGTAGTTCCAGAATCTACTGTATAATGTGGACCCTACAGTTCTCAATACTGTAATGTACCCTTAATAGTGTAAGAAGATCCATCTCATATTAAATGGACTCATAATAAATTTAAAATAAATATAATCAAAAGAAAATAGCACTGTAGGGGGCTGGAGAGATAGCACAGCGGGTAGGGTTTGCCTTGCACACAGCCAGCCTGGGTTCAATTCCCAGCATCCCATATGGTCCCCTGAGCACTGCCAGGAGTAACTCCTGAGTGCAGAGCCAGGAGTAACCCCTGTGCATTGCCGAGTGTGACCCAAAAAGCAAAGAAAAAAAAAAGAAAGAAGAAAATAGCACTGTAGCATTGTCCTCCCATTGTTCATCAATTTGCTCGAATGGGCCCAGTAACATCTCCATTGTGAGACTTGTTGTTACTGTGTTTGGCATATCAAATAAATCACGAGTAGCTTGCCAGGCTTTTGCCATGTGGGCAAGATACTCTCAGTAGCTTGCTGGGTTCTCTGAGATGGGCGGAGGAAACGAACCCCAGTCGGCTGGGTTGGCTGCATGGGTCGCATGCAAGGCAAATGCCCTACCCACTGTGCTATCGCTCCAGCCCAATCAAAAGAAAATAAACATCTAATTTAGGATGAAATAGATATGGATAGAATATCTAAAGATTGTTTTATATTTTACTTGAATTTCCTTTATTTGTAAAGTTATTGTTCTATTCTGAATAAAATTGTGCACAATTCAAAAGGTGACATGTTTTTGCACCCACTTTCATGTATATTCATTCTCTAAGAATTCTATTTTAACTGAATGGCAGCAAAATAGTATTCAAGCAAATAAATGGATATTGAACGACTTTTAATGGTTTTTGGGGGGGGGGATGACACCTGGCAGTGCTTAGAGCTTACTCCTGGCTCTGAGCTCAGGTGTCCTGGCAGTGCTGGGGAACCATGTGGGGTGTCATATTCAAACCCAGGTCAGCTGTTCACAAAATAGGTGCCTCACCTGCTGTAATATTCCTCTGATCTACTTTTTACAATTTATTTGCAAGAATGTTTATTATAAAATCTGCTACTTTTGGCAGGGGTGAGGGAGCTGCTTAATGTGACACTGGAGCTCCCAGTGACACTTGAACTGCAACACTTCTCAGATGCTGTGGCTCTGGGAACTGCTAAGGCCACCCTGACAGTGTGTGTGGCCATACCTAGCAGTAACCAAGAGGTCTATAGGGTGATGGATCAAATTCAGAGGCTTATGCCTTCGGGCAAGTACACCAGCCCTTTGTGCTATCTCCCTGGCCCCCTCCTCAGCTTTCAAAGACTGAAACAAGAATGTCTTCTAGTTCAAAGGATCAAGTTGTCTTGATCTTGTTTAAAAATGTGTCTATGATTTCCCATTGAGGTTTTTTTGTTTTGTTGGTTGGTTGGTTTTTTTGTTGTTGGTGGTGGTGGTTTTTTTTTTTTCTTTGCATGTGTGATATGGAACATATTGCTTCTGTTTGTGAAAGTTCCCCTTGGCAGTGCTCAGGGTACCAGATGTGGTACTGGGGATCAAAATATGGAGTCAATGACATGTAAGTAAAGTGACTTAACCCTATACTATCTCTGGCCTTCAGAGAGATTGTCTTTTTTAAGAACTTTAATTCCATGATTTTAAAATAGGAAGTGATGTACATCAACACTGGCGTATGAGAAAGGGAAAACAGCCAGGCAACACTTGGCCTGCCTTGTTGTGTTTGCCAGTGAGACACATTTAGAAAGAATTTTGTGTCTGCTTAAATTAGACCCCAATCCTTATGGTGAACAGTTCTGGACCTGTAGGTGAGTGCTATTTGCCAAACATACCAAGGGTTACCAAATGAAATAAAACCAAATATATCTTGACAAGAAAAAATGAGCCTGAAGAAGGATAAGCTAGAAATAATGATCCAATATCCAAGCTCCCCCATCTTTATTTTGGTTACGGAATTCATGTTTTAATCAGGTACCTCGCTGCCTAGAAGATTATATTTCTCAACTTCCCTTGCAGCTCAACAAACCATGAAACTCAATTTTAGCCAACGAAATAAGTAAAGGTGTTGTGTGCAACTTCAAGGGCACAGCCGGAAAAGAAAATTATTTTCCAGTAGTAGGCAGAGTAATAGTTCCCTCAAAGATGCCTTTGTCAAATTTCCATGATCTGTGAAGGTTATATCATGCAACAAAGAGGAACTAAGGTAACACTTGTTATTTAGGTACTAATCAGTTGTTGAGATGAGAATATTGTCTTGAATTATCCATGTGAAGCCAGTGTAATCTTGGGGGTCCTTAGAAGTGGAAGGATACAGAAGGGAATAAAATGTCTGTTATGCAAAGGGTTTTAAGTGCTGTTGCTGATTCTGAAGATGGAGAAAGGACCATGAGACAAAGAAGGTAGTGTCCCTTAATTGCTGAGAAAGTCTAGGAAAGGGATTTTCTTTTATTACCTCCAGATGAGAACACACCTTGCATGCAATACCTTGATTGTGGCCCATGAAATCTTGTACTGAACTTTAAACCTATATAAAAATAAGTACAAGTTGCAATATTTTAAGTCACTCTGGTAATTAGTTGCAGCATCCATGGAACCAATTCCATTCCTTTTTCACCCTTGCCTGGGTGAAATATAGTGAACCAACTATAACCACTTAGATGAGGACAATAATGTCAAATCAAGATAGAGAAAAATTAGATCCTTGTTTGACTATCAGCCAGGAGAGGCATCAGCTCTTGACAGTTTAATGAGAGCATTTGTGGGCTGGGCTGAGCTGAGGAAAACTATAAAGTATAGTGTAATATTCTGGAGCCAGCCTCAGCAGTGGGTCATTACTACCCTTGGTCAGGGATGCAGAGAGAGGGTGACAGTGACAAATTGAAGACAGATAATGTAGAAGGGCCACTTAGTGGGAGTCATGATCGAAGGTCAGGGATGCACCGGCCATGACAACACTGAGGAAGATTTTGCGACATAAGCATCAAACATTCCATTGCCACCATCTTCTTCTTGTCCAGTCCCTCACTGGTGCTTCCCATTAGCCCAACCAAGGATCCATTGTGATATTCTCATGTAGCTCCACATCCATGCACAGAAGAAGCACAGGTGGCTCTAGAGACTCTCACTGACCTCAGCGACTAAAGCTAGATGAGCTCGGACTAACTGCGATTTGTTTGTGGTAGAAAAAGAAACTTCTCCTATTTCACTGTAATTCAGGTCTCTTAAAAGAGCTGACCCAACATTCGTATTAGTGTCTTTGGGTACTAAGGGAATTCTAAATTGCTCCAACAGTCTTTTTCTCTGCCCTGAGTCTAGGGACAATGGTCAGGTGACATATAATCCAGGCCTTGTCCCCTACATGACCTTAAGTGATTGACAGCCTCCCTAAATCTCACATTTTCATTTTCTTCTGTCGTAAAATGCTTCAGTTATAATATACTAATAAATGTTCCTAGGTACTGGTTACTGAGATAATTCATGTGAAGGGTTTTGGGAAGAGTGAGGTATTCCTAAAATCATCTGAAGGCTCAGGATGTAGCTCAGTGGTAGAGACAACTTTTGCATGTATCAGAGGGTTTTGGAGTTCAATCATTAGTACCCTGTTATACACCCCCAAAATAAATAAAATAGAACCAAAAAGACAACCTACTAAGTAGGAAAAGACATTTGCACATAAAACATCTGATAAGGATCAGATGTGCATATAAAATATACCAAAAATATTCTGTAATTCAATCAAAACCCAATCAAATTTAAAAATTAACAAAATAGTTGAATAGATATTTCTCCAATAGATACTTGGCCAAAAAAAATGGAAAAAAAATGCTTAACTTGCTTAACTTTGCTTAAAATTAGGCAAATGCAAGCCAAGACCACAATTACCTCATACCCATGAGAATGGCCTATTTTGAAAAAACTAAGAACAACAAATGTTAATGAGGGTATTGGGAAAAACTCACCATTATACATGGTTGCTAAGATTACAAATTGCAAAGCTGCTATAGAAAATGGTATAGTGATTTCTTGTTTGACTTTTTGTTTGTTTTTATTAGGTGGGGGTAATGGTTTTAGGGCCGTACCTAGTGGTGCCTAGGGCTTACTACTAACTTTGTGCTCAGGATCACACCTTGCAGAGATAGGGTAACCAGGTGTGGTTCTGGGGTTCAAACTGGGATCAGCTACATGCAAGGTAAGCACTTTATCTCTTTATTATCTCTCTGTCCCATTGTGCTTTCTTAACTAAAAACGAAATTACTATATTACCCTAGCAATACTAACGTTGGGTATTTGTCCAAGGGACATGTAAACATTCATTTGAAAGCATATTTACACCCTTTGTCCATAGCTGTATTCTGCACAGTAACCAAAATATTTGAATCAACCTAAATACTCATCAAAGAATGACTGGGTAAAGAAATTGTGGACACCAAATAGAGAAAGAATAAGAGGAAAATTGTCTGCCATAGAGACAGAGAGAGGGGTGGGATGGGGGGTGAGGGATACTGGGGACATTGGTGCTGGAAAATGTGCACTGGTGAAGGGATAGGTGTTCGATCATTGTATGACTGAAACTC